GAACTACTCTTGCTTTCTTTCTTCTTTCTTTCTTTCTTTCTTTCTTTCTTTCTTTCTTTCTTTCTTTCTTTCTTTCTTTTTCTTTCTATATCATTTATTTCTGTCTAAACTTTATTTTTCCTTCCTTCTATTGGGATTAGATTTTTTTGTTCTTTTTTTCTTTTTTTTCTAACTCCTTTAGGTGTAAGGTTAGGTTGTTTATTTGAGATTTTCCTTGTTTCTTCATGTAGGTCTGTGTTGCTACAAACTTCCCTGTTAGAACCACTTTTGATACATCCCAAACTTTTGGACCATTTTGTTTTCATTTTCATTTGTTTCCATGTAATTTTTAATTTCTTCTTTGATTACTTGTTTGACCCATTCATTGTTTAATAGCATAATATTTACCTTCCAAGTTATTTCTGGTGTTTCCAGATGTGTGTGTGTGTGTGTGTGTGTGTTTCATAATGTTTCATGGTGTTGTGGTCAGAAAAAATGCATGGTATGATTTTGATTTTTTTAAATATATTAAGACTTGTTCTGTGGCCTTATGTATGCTAGATTCTGGGAAATGTTCTGTGTACACTTGAAAGGAATGTGTATTATTTTGCCGTTAGGATGGAATGTTCTGAATATGTCTGTTAAATCCATCTGGTTCAGTTATGTTAATCAAACTATTGTTTCCTTGTTAATTTTTGGTTTGGATGGTCTGTTTATTGACATAACTGAGGTGTTAAAGCCCCTTACTATTATTGTATTACTCTCAGTTATCTCTTTTATGTTTATTATCAACTGTTTTACATGTATTTGGGTGTTTTCATGTTGGGCGCATAAGTATTTACAATTGTTATATCCTCCTGTTGGATTGTCCCCTTTGTTATTTTACAGTGTCTTTCTTTGTCCCTTGTTGCAGTCTTTGTTTTAAAGTCTACTTTGTCAGATGTAAGTATTGCTACCCATCCCCTCACATTCAATCTGCTGGTGTCTTTTTTTGAAATGTCTTGGAGGCAGCATATAGATGGGTCTTATTTTTAAATTCATTCTGATACTCTATGTTTTGTTTGGAGCATTTAGTCCATTTACATTCAGAGTAATTAGTGATAGGTACCTATTTATTGCCACTTTTTTATTTGTTTTGTGGTAGTTTCTAAAGATTTTCTCTGATACTTTCTTCCTTTGCTCTCTTTTATGGTTTGTTGGCTTTCGTTAGTGATATACTTGGATACCTTTCTCTTTTATCTTTATATATGGTTTTTGATTTATGGTTACCATTAGGTTTGCATATAACATCTTATGTATAGAGTAGTCTATATTAAGTTGATGGCTGTTTATAATTAAAAATAAAATTAAAAATAGATAAAACTATTTTTTACTCTTCTCCCTCCCATGTTTTAGGTATATGGTATCATATTTCAAATCCTTTTATTTTATATTCAAATCCCCTGGCTGATTTTTACAGAAATATTTATTTTTACTGCTTTTGTGTTTTTTACTTTTCCTAGTCTCACTTATGGTCTTCCTTTCCACTCAAGGTGTCCTTTTTAATATTTCTTATAAGGCTGGTTTAAAGGTCATGACTTCCTTTATTTTTTGTTTGTCTGAGAAACTCTTTATCTCTCCTTCTATTCTGAATGATAGCCTTGCTGGATAGAATGTTCTTGGTTGTACATGTTTCCCTATCAGTATTTTGAATACATCATGCCACTTCTTTCTGGCCTGCAAAGTTTCTGCTGAAAAAATTCACTGATAGTCTTATAAGGTTTCCCCTTGTATATAACTGTTTTCTTAACTTTTGCTGCTTTAAATTTTTTTATCACAATTTTTTCCATTTTAATTACTACGTGTCTTGATATGGATCTCCTTGGGTTGAATTTTTGGGGTATCTCTGTGACTCTTGGACCTGGATATCAGTTTCTTTCCCCAAATTTGGGAAGTTTTCAGCTAGTATTTCTTCAAATAAATTTTCTGCCCCCTTATCTCTTTCTTCTTCTGAGATCTCTATAATGCAGATGTTATACTTGATGGAGTTTCCTAAGATAATTCTCAATTTGCATAATTTTCTTTCTTCTCTTTTTTATCGGCTTGATGGCTTTCCATTACTCTGTCTTCTAGGTCATTAATTCATCACATATTGTGTGATTTGTCAGTTTCTATGTATTAGAAAAGTTAGCTACTCTCTTGCTCTTTAGTGATCACAGCCTTACGGAGAAGATGTCCTGTAGTGCCCTGCCGTGCAGTATCCTTTACTCCCCAGGCCCTGGCATTTCAAGGAGTATCTCCTATGTGTGTTGCGTGTGCTCTGCTATTGAGTCTTGGCCTCTTTGTCCTTCAGTCCAATTCTTTGCAGATGCTGTCTTTGCCTATTGTGGGTAGCAACATGTGCAATGGTCTGCTTGCAAAATGAGACCTGCTCCTGCTACTGCTGGAACTGAGGTCCTGCAAAATGGTTAGGGGTCAAATAGTGTGGTATTGGCAGGGTTTTGCTGATCTTCTGGGGAAGGGGCCTGCAGTGCTGGGACTGAGGTTAGCATGGCTGGAAAGCGTGGATCTGCTGAAGTATGGGGAGTGCTTTGTGCGAGCAAGTTATGTAAGAAGTGTCAGTGTTCTGCTGGTTCCTGCAGGTGGCCCTTGTTTATGCTGGAGACAGAGACAGAGGAGGCAAATGGCAACTACTAGCTCCTTTGTTCCTGGAGGGGTCTCCCCATGACCCTTGTGTCTCTGGGCTGTGCTCTGACAAGAGCAGATCACTCTCTCCCCTGTCTGTCCTCTGAGTTTTTCAAACAGCTGGTTCTATGCTATATCTGCATGGGCTGTTTGTCATGTTGTCTCCTTAAGGGCAAGGACTCCACTTTCTAACACCTTCTGAGCTCTATAACAGCCAAGCCTGCTGATTTTTAAAATTCTAGATTTTTAAAATGCTAGTTTTAAGAACTCATGAAATTTGGCTCCTCTTACTCTCAAAAGCAAATAGTACAGAGATTCATCCTCCCCATTTGTGGGCTTTCCCATGTGAAAGTCTATTTTCTGCCCTTCTCTGTGCCATCAGTTCCCTCCCTGTCACAGAAGGCCATGCTCTGTTTTGCTTGTACACCATGTTTTCACCTGTCCTACCTTCTTTCATATTGCTTCTTCCTTGCCTTTGGTTGTGGAGTCTCTTATACCAGTCTTCCGGTCATTTCCTGGGTTAATTATGGCTGGCATGGATGTTATCTAGTTGTATCCATGGGACAAGATGAGCTTAGCGTCCTCCTAATCTGCCATCTTCTCAGCTGAACTTCAAGAACTCCTTCTTTGTGATCTGCTTTTAAACATTTTATTTTCCAGGAATGCTTCCCATCATGCTTCTTCTCAGGGCCTTGAATATTCATTATATCCCCCTACCTGTAATTTCTTGCTGTAAGGTGCATCTGCAGTCCCCTGTGATTTTCATACACTGTGGCACCCATCAGCTGCCTTCTGTGATTTCAGGCATAGATCCAAACCGTGCCACTGTCTCAATCTATTTAGGTGAGACAGAAGCATTCCCTCTGGCAGCCGACAGGTAGGCCAGAACAATGCAAACAAGTTCCAGTCTGGTCCTTCCAACCCAAGGGAGGGAAGGGAATTGAGCCATTTCTTCCCAACTATGTCTTGTCATGTTGCAGAGAGGATTCGGCAAAGGCAAGGACAAATTGGTGGAACTTCCTACTGGTTTGAATATGCCTTTTCCTTGATGAGACATTCGCATGGTTGCTGCAGATATCTGACTAGTGGTAAGAGCTCATATGAAGTTGTTTTTATCAGTATGCAGTTGTGTTTTTGTTTGTTTGTTTTCTTAAGGAAAGAAGGGACTGAAGTTTCCCAGTCTGCTGTCTTGCTCTAAATTTACATTTATTTGATGTTATATGTGCCTCTGCCTTCATCATTCATATAAACAGTAGAGAGGTACCTGCATTACCAGTGTATTTTAAAACAACCATTATGCAGGAAAAACAGGCAATGGTGGGCCAGGAATAGGTGTCCGCAAAATAGTGTTAGTGTCAAAAATAAACCATTCCTTTATAGTATATGGAAAGAAATGTAACCAGGCAGGGTTTTCTCCTTTCCTATTGCTTCCCCTATAGTCTTATAAACTTAAGAACAATTTTTAACAAATTTGAGCTCTTCTAGATATAGTTATTAGATTTAAAATCTACAGTATACTTTGTTCTCTCTGTCCTTTATAATTGCCACACACTCCAGACTTTGCCTCTATAGTTGTCCAAACCTGAACTGTCTTTTCATGTAAATGCTCTCTATCCTCAGAGGACTACATCAAACTCTATTGTTTTTTTTTTTTTAAATGTTTTATTTATTTCTAGGAGAGAGAGAGAGACAGCGTGAGCAAGGGAGGGTCAGAGAGAGAGGGAGTCACTGACTGAAACAGGCTCCAGGCTCTGAGCTGGCAGTCAGCACAGAGCCCTACGCGGGGCTCGAACCCACGAACCGCGAGATCATGACCTAAGCAAAAGTCGGACGCTTAACCGACTAAGCCACCCAGGCGCCCCAACTCTATTGTTTTTTAAGCTTCATCTCTGAATACCCTACCTTACACTATCCCCCTTTCATCTTTGATTTGTTTTTACAAGCAGTTATATACACTGGAACGTTTAATTCATGAAGAGAGTTGAGCAGGAACCCTTTGTGCTGATAGTGCAGATACCGTTGTACCTATCTCCCAGGTTAAAAAAACAAACAAACAAACAAGCAAACAAACAAACAAACTCTCAAAATACACCTGTAAATTCTTGATCCAAGATACTGCTATACTAGAAAAAAATGTAGAAACCAGGTAACTAGAAATGAGAGATCAGGCAGAAGGGGGAAGGCCTTAGGAAATCTCCACAGTGGGAAGCTCTATGTGAGAAGAATATGAAGGAGTGAAGGAAAGTCTAAGACTGAATACTTGCCCAACCATAGTTTTACCAGGAGCCCCATTCTTTCAGTAAGTAATACTTTCATCTCAGATTTCTATTTTTATATATTGCTTAAATTTCACACACCTGGCAGATGAAATAAGATCTTCTTGGTTATATGAAGATGAACTCATAATTCTGTGTATGAGGTAATGTGTTGGTTCAGTACTAATAGTCCTTTTTTCTTTCTGGAAAAGTGAAAAACATTTGTCACATAGAGTTTGACATGTGCTTTCTAACCTTATTGGCATATTTTAAGCTCTAATCTACACTACAATGAAAAAAATTTCTAGAGATTACTTAAAAGATGGATGAACCCCATAATTCTAATTAAAAGGTCTCTTTCCTGTATTTTTTGGGAGGGGAATGGCTCAGCGAGGATGATCTATACTATAATATGGGAGTTTGACTGGATTTTAAATATAAATTTAAACCTGGTTTGGGGTTCCTGGATGGCTCAGTCAGTTGGGTGTCTCACTTTGGCTCAGGTCTTGATCTCAGTTTGTAAGTTTGAGGCCTGCCTCAGGCTTTGTGCTGACAGCTCAGAGCCTGGAGCCTACTTCGATTCTGAGTCTCCCTCTCTTTTTGCCCCTTCCCCACTCACATTCTCTCTGTGTCTCAAAACTAAAAATAAACATTAATTTATTTAAAAAAACTTGTTTGAAGAATATTGTTTTCCATTTCTATACATTACAAATATTTTAAATCATATCTTACCAAGTTCAGAAAGGAAAAGAACAGAGACATAACTCTGGTCAATTCAGATACTTTTCAGTTCAATTATCTTAACATAAACTCTGATCTATTTGTTGGGAAGTCATGTGTGATTTAATAGCATTATTTTTTATGAGAATATCATTATTGTGATTTTTCTTGAAATCTCAAAAAAAGCTACTATTGGGATTATTGTTCATATAACCCATTTTGAATTTTCCCTATTAGTTATGCTATACCATTTCTTTGGCTATCTATAAAGCCAGCATTTCTGAATATGAGGCTCAAGAAAACTATTCTGCAGTTGGTCATGAAATCACACATAGCTTCCCAGCAAATAGATCAGAATTTGTGTGAAGATAATCTACTTGTTAAGTTCCTGAATTGAAGAGTTTTTCTTCTGTTTTCTCTGGTTCATCTCAGCTTTTTGTATTTATCCATGAATCATGTCAATTGGATAATCAATGGAATTGTCTCATCGGGAAATACCAAATCATATAAACTTTACAAAAACATGTTTTGGTACTAATTTTAGGACAGGGCCAACCCCTGTGATCACTGAAGTTGAGACTGTCATTTCAGAGTTATGATATCAGGGACAAGAGCTGTACCCCATGATGATAGTGGACTTTATGGGCTGATTGCAAGGGTGATACTTAAAATATTTTGATTAGCCTTTTAATTTGGGGCATGTTGGCTAAGTCATTTTTAAGAAAAAAATCTGGCCATGTAGCTTGCCCAAAGGACACATAGCTATTAAGGAAGAGTCAGAATTCATACCTAGACAATTTGAATTTGTATGGATCGTTTTTTTACTTCCTCTTATGTTGACCCAATTTCTAGTCATATCCTACCTGTGTAAGTCTTCTTAAAAAATATGTCAATTTTGGCTGTGATTTACCAGCCAAAATACAAAAAAGACTGGAATTTATTAAATAATATATTTAAATAATTAGTTTGCATTTCTTTTCAATGGTTTCCATTTTCTGTTCTCCTTGGGCTCCTAACTAATCTAGGTCTCTTTCAATTATCTGCTTTCTCTTAGTTGAGTTTCATGGTTTCATCTGTTAATAATTTCTTTTATACTGTAATTATTATCAGGCTTAGGAAGAGAATGGAACAATATTAGTATTCTTTTCTAATTAAGATACATTCATGGACAGAATTTCTGAAGATCTCTTTTCTTTCTATAGATATCTGGTCACTGACAGTTATGTTTCTCATTCACCTTACTCTGTGGCTTTTTCTTCCAAGAGTCTGTTTCAGTCATGGTTGTTGAGCACCTGGACATGTCAAGCTCAGCAGTAGCTCTTTTAACTTTTCTCTCCCTAGGTACTATTTTCTGATTTGAGGTTGCTTCAGAACTTTCAATATTTGCACTGGATGTGGATTGACAACATTTGCTTAAAGAAAATATTTTTTTCAGGCTGTTTGTGCTTAGTGTCGGCTTGGGAGAAGCAACTTTGCTTTCTACTGGCTTCGTGACTTCTTTCACTTGGTCTTCAAATTGTTCTCTGAAATATTCTTCTTTTACAACCTCTCTTAAAACAACTTCATCGTCAGACATTAGTTCCTCTTCTATGGTACTTTCTGAATCTTCTTGATCAATATCATGAGCTACAAACCGAATGATAAGATCTTTTTTGGTCCGAACATCTTTTAAAAGCTCTACCTTGGTGATATCAGGCTTTCTTATATTCTGAAATGAATTTCTGCAAACAGCCTGGAATTGAAGGTAAAATGAATATTAAAAACCAATGCTTCAATCACTCTTCTTGTGGTTCTATTGTAATATAGCTATTTTAATATGATTTATAGTTTCAATTTAAGTAGTATTATCTTCAAAAGCTACTACTTGTATAAAGAAACAAATGAAAGTTATAAAAAGTATTTGTCAGTATCTAGTATTTTTTTAATATTTCAGAGATCGAATTAATTTATTCCCAAGTACAGAAGAAGGTCTAACATAGGTTTCCTTCTAGTCTTTTTCTCTTTCTTTCTTTCTTTCTTTCTTTAGCTTAAATTTCATAGTTTGTTACATCATAATTTACTTTTTGTTTTTTCATTGACTTTGAAAGTTTGGGGGACAGAAGTAGACACTATACTCCATTTTTCCAAAATTCTACATAGGTAATAATAGAGAACCCAAATGTACATACTGTAACAAAAAATCAAGGTATTGTCTGATCTTGGCTTTTTAAAATGATGAATATCCAAACTTGTGAAGGTCTTTGACACCTCAGTCCCTGTTCTTCCACTCCTAATCCTTTGGTTATATTTTCCAAAAGAATATTCACTACGTAACTCTTAATTTTTTTCTTATCCTCCCAAGTCAAGTCAATGGAAAAACTTTCCATTTTCAATGTTTAAAGACAGATCAAAGAAAAGACAATTATAATTAAATAACACAATTTCTCTAATCTCTGTAGCCTTTGATGATGCCACAGAACCTCCAGACTGATTTAGTAATCTTAGACCTCAAAATCCTTTTGTAACACTGTGATCTAGTTTTTCAGACAATGGTGCCCTAAAAGAATATCTTCCATGGAAACAAAATATAGAAACAGCTTTTTCAGGAAGTTAAAGCACAAAAATTAACTTTTATTTTCAGTGTTACTAGAGGGAACTAGTGGTTTAGAAAATCAAAATATAATTCCATATGGCTTTGGAACTTATTATATTATATATAGTGTTAATATGTATATGCCTAGTGTGTTGGGAATTTATAGTAATCAAAACAGAAAACAAAGCCTTGACATGGAACCAACAAATGTCTAGGTTCTTTGATTTAATCTATTGTTCTTTTTTCTCTTTTCTGTCCCTATGCTAAAGATAGATAGTATTAGAACGCAGATTGGTGCAAATCATATGTCTTGATAAAGTTCTATGTATCTGCTTTTTTAAATATGGTTTTTATTTTTTAAGATGGCTTTTCTTCCCCTTAAAAGGACAGGGGTAATTTTTTTTTTTTTTTTTGGTATAAATATTCTCTTTCCTGCTTCGTGTGGTCTATAAATGACTTAAATAAAGAGAGGCATTAACTAAGAGTAAGATTTGTGACAGACAATACTACAGATAATTAAAAACCTATTTTAAGTAAGTTACTTTTAAGATCTTACTATTTAAGTAAGATCTGTTCACACAAATCTTACTGCAAGGGATTATTTCTGTATAAATGAAGACTACTAAGCAATATGCCAATACAATGAAGAGAACACATATGGAAAAGTAAATCTTAGAGCTGGAAAGAACCATCATCTGGTCCAAAAAGTTTAGGCCAAAGAAGATTAAATTAGTGTCTCAGCCCATGGTGATCTCAGTATTTGAGTATGAAGATATAAAGCACTAAGTAACATATCCTTGCAGGATAGTACTGGCAAAAAATTCAGCTAAAGTTTATGCTTCATGGAGAATGGTTCATTCTTTGCTCATTGTCCAGGCAACAGATTATATCCCTAAGCATATCCAGTCTTCTAATGAGTGAACACCATCAGTGTAAGGGGATTGGCAAAAATCAGTGTGACTCTATAGGCCTGACAATCCCTTTGTCCTCAGTGGTATAGTGGTAAAGTCGTGATTAATTTAATTTATTTGAGGCCCTAGTATGGAGCTAATTTAGGGCAGAGCTAGGTCCAGTTTCTCAAAATGGCAGCATTAGGGCAACTGGATCTTGAATATGGATAGAAGAGGAAACTGGGTACTTATGGAAAGTGTAGAATTGAGGAAGTCTAATACAATTAAAGTGAAATGATAGGAAACAAGTATAATCTAGCATTTGTAATGTAATGTTTGTTAGTGAATGTTCCTGAAAGTAAGGAATACCACTGCTGTAGAGTCGTAGGTTTGAGGAATTAAAAGTATTTTAGATGGCTTTTGAAACCTCATATATCCTGATATTCTATTAACTAGTCTTTAAAAACTGCTTTCGATATTCACAATAAAGAACTAAAAGAACTACAGGAGATTGTTTCTTCTTAATCTGCAAATGAAGATTATAATTTCAGTCATCCTTATTTTACTGTTAAGGATATTTCACTGTATTTCTGTTCTTTAAAAAATGTTAGTCTAACATGAAACGATGCTCAGCATCCCTCCTCATCAGGGAAATACAAATCAAAACCACACTGAGATACCACCTCACGCCAGTCAGAGTGGCTCAAATGAGCAAATCAGAGAACTCTAGATGCTGGCAAGGATGTGGAGAAACGGGCACCCTCCTACACTGGTGGTGGGGATGTAAACTGGTACAGCCCCTCTGGAAAACAGTGTGGAGGTTCCTCAGGAAACTAACAATAGAACTCCCCTATGACCCAGCAATAGCACTGCTAAGAATTTACCCAAGGGATACAGAAATGCTGAGGCATAGGAGCACGTGTACCCCAATGTTCATAGCAGCACTCTCCACAATAGCTAAAACATGGAAAGAGCCTAAGTGTCCATCAACAGACGAATGGATCAAGAAGATGTGGTTTATCTATACCATGGAATACTACATGGCAATGAGAAACAATGAAATCTGGCCATGTGTAGCAACATGGATGGACCTTGAGAGTGTTATGCTGAGCGAAATAAGTCAGGCAGAGAAGGACAAATATCATATGTTTGCACATATAGGAGGATTAGGAGGAACTTGACGGAGGAACGAGGGGGAGAGGCAAACCATGAAAGACTCTTGAATGCTGACAAAAACTGAGGACTGATGGATGTGGGGAGGAGGAGGGATGGGCATGGAGGAGGACACTTGTGGGGATGAGCACTGAGTGTTACGTGGAAACTAATTTGACAATAAACTATTTGCAAAAAAAAAAAAATGTTAGTCTAAACTGACTTCCATTGGAAAACTAGCCTGAGACCATTAGAGTGAGCCACTGAACTGATGTGGCAAGTCCCAGTAAATCATGTGACAGCATGAATGAGCCTGTGCAACCAGTTCTCCTATTGGGCATGGAATAACAACAAAAAATGCGTTCCCATTGGAGGAAGAAATCAAAGGACAACCACTATTTGCTTATGGATTTGCTATTGGCTTTTGCACTTACCTGGAAGGGTTTTACATCCAGTCGTCCCACCTTATTCAATGAGATGCGTCTTTCTTTCTGTATCTTTTCTATGTTAGATGCTTTTAGTAAGGGGTAGCTTCTCCCGCTTATTGATGCTCTTCTCAGTTCTGTTAGGCTATGTCCAGTTTTACTCAAACACTCCACCTTGAGTTTCTCAAGAGGTTGGGTTTTTACAGAAAGTACTGCTAAGTGTTCTGAGATAATTTTTGGATCTATTTTTATTGCTTTCTTCCCAACATGTGGAACTATTTTAATTGGAAAATTCTCAATTGAATCTTGATATGACTCTTCGTCCTCTAACTCAGGGACTGTATCAATAGTCATATGCTCTTGTGCCTTTTGAATAATTCTATTCACATCTAGATTTCCAGAGAGATTAGCATTTGAATTCTTTGTGCTAACTGTATCTAATGGAAACTGTGAAACTCCATTAATAATTAAACCAGCCACTTTTTCAGGGAAAACAGTGTTTGTATCTTTTATATCATCGTAGACTTCACTATCATTTCTGGAATGTTGCAGTACGTTACTGTAAATGGAATCAATAACCTGAGAAATCATTTCTATGCTTTCTGGATTTAAAAAGTATTGCTCAGGATCAGCAGCAACAAGATTAATGTTACTTTGGGAAATTTCAGCTGTCACTGATTTTGTCAGTTGAGATGCAATTTTATTTAACTCGGGCTTTGATAAATTTTTTGCATCTTTGCTTGAGGCACTTGGCAATCTTACTATTTTAGCCAAGAACAAGGCCAATGCTTCCTCTAAAAACCTGGCATCTAACATCAACCCTTTTTTGGATGAAGACTTTTTCTGGGACTTAAATTCATCAACAATTGTGACCACTTTTTCCATAATTTTGACAGCTTCCAGAACTAATTCTGAACTTGATGCTTTGTCCTCTACTTGAGGTTGAAATTCAGAATTGGAAATTTCCTTCACCATTAAAAAACCTATTATATCAGAGAGGACATTGCTCTTACCCATCAAATCTTTAAATATAGAACTGTGTGAGCCAGAGTGCTTTAAAATGCTGGCATAAACAGAATTAACTACCCTTTCAATAGTTTCGTTGTTAGCTAAAGGTACAGTAGGCAATTCCTTGGCCGGTGGTACAAGTTTAATCTTACTTTTGGAGATAAATTCTTGTATTGAATTTAGTATTTTTGAGCTTAATTTTTGCATGTCAGTTTCTAGAGATTTGGTTCTTTCCTTATCCATTTCTGGAAACACAGATAAAAGCTTTGATAAAAACTTTACAGCAATTTCTTCTATTATGTTATAAGGCAGTATATGAACACGTGATGGTTGAGGCTGGGCAGCATCAGCAGTTTGGATAACATCTTTAAGAATATTTTCAACAACACTATCAACTTCTGCACACTGATGTGGAGTTAGCTCTCCAGAAAAATAGTTTTGCAATTGATTGCCAGCCACTTCTCGCAGAACTAAGTCAACGATGGTTTCCGAAAGAATTCTACATCCACTGGCTACACAGTTTTGTATTATCTCTTGTGATCCAAACTGTGACAAGAGATTATTATAAATGGAATGAATCACTAATTGAATAATTTCATCATCATTTGGATGTAGAGATTCCACATATTGTATAGTTATATCTTTATCATTGGAGATTGCTGTTGTAACTGTACTTAATAACTTCATTTGAAGGAAATCCAATTCTGTGAAACCATTGTACTCAGACGTTTCTACTTCAGTGTTGGATACTGTTAAGAAAATTTTGGATAAAAGAGCAGAAATCACATTTTCCAAAAATTTGTGAGGCAGCTTGATGGTATATGGTGATGATGTTTGACATTCTTTGCTGGCTGTTTGTGCCACTTTTCGGACCTTTTTAACAATATCTTTAAATTCCAGAGGCAAACATGCTGAAGCTGGAACCTCATCACAATGTATGAAATTAAGCTGATGTTGAAAAATTTCATTTATCACTGCACTGCTTAGTCTTCTTGCTAAATTTTCCCCATTACTCTTTATATTTTTACAAATGGAATCTTGAGATCCAAATTCCTTCAAAATATTACATACAGAAGAATGAACAACTTTGTTGACCAATGCTTTATCAATTGCTCGTATTTTCTCTAAGAAAGATATCTTATTTGATGAAGGTTTTCTAGTCATTTCGTGCATATGTGGCATTCTATCCACTGTTATTTTCTTAACGTTGGATGCGGTTTCATCTGTAGTTGATTCTTTTTGCTGAAGAGGTGTTTTAGGAACTGATGACACTTTATCTACAGGTGGAAAAAACTGATTTCCTTTATGTGGCCTAAATACCTTAATTTGAGCATCTGAAAATTCCTTTAACAGTGAGTGCATAAGTTTCACAGCTGTGTCATAAAGTTCGGCTTGATTTTCATCATCCCTTACATTTTGACATCTATCACATGTCTGTGTTTCTGATGAGGAAGAAAAGATCAATGTGTTAACCATGTCAGTGATAATATCTTCTAAAAATTTAGCAGGAACAACTCCAGGCTTAGTTTTTGATGGGTACTGAGGACTGTCTGATTTACTGGGTTCATTTTTAATCTCCTTACTTTTTACTTTTTCTGTTTTCTTCCCTGTCTCGCTCGCCCTCTTTCTTTCTTCCTCTCTCTCTCCCTCATTCTCTATTTCTTTCTTTCTCTCTCTCTCCTTGACAGAGAGACTTTTGTTAATTGAGAGGGATGGATCCTTTGTTGAAACAGACTGTGTAAAATCTTGACCAACTTCTTGAATTACAAGCAATGTTGTATCATTTGGGAGACTGTGTAGTTTTGAATCATCTGATGATTCTGGAGAAGTGTGTATTTCTAAGACATTTTCATAAATGTTTTCAGTGACATTTTGAACATACTCATAATCTGAGTATTGTTCCTCATTTATATCTGTTTGAGATGAAGAGTCTTTTCCATCCTCATTATTTGGCTTTTGGGTAACTGTTTTCAAAGTATTCTCTGTTGTGGTCCTTGTATTTCTTGCTTCAGATGCCAAAGATAACTGATCATCTTTTTTAAATGTATTTTCTCTTGTTTTGTCAATCTTCTTTTCAATGTTTATTTCAAAATTTGGTCCAAGTATTTCCTCCTCAGATTCTTTATCATCAGTAGTTACTGGAAATTTTGTGTTTATATTATTATATTGTCTTTTCTTGTGTTTTGAAACTGGTATATTTTTCTTCTCAATGTCATCATTTTTTAGAGTTACCCTCAAATCTGGCTCCTGCATAACTTTACTTTTCACACTCGTAGTTGTAAAAGTAGCTCTTGATAAGTTCTCATATTTTTTAATTGAAGTTTCCATTTTATTTTCTGTCTCTTTCTTTTTGTTTGTCACACTTGCAGCTGAACCTGATAACAGGTTAACCATGTCACTTTTCATAATTCTAGTTGCAGAGGGAACTATTGGATCTTGGATGTCACCTTTTTTCATTGAGGTCTCTTCAGTTTTGAAACCTTTCTTTCTACTTTTTGCACCTCTGTCTATTTCCGAAGTGTCCAACACAGTTTTCTGGTCTATAATTGCAGAAGTGTGTTTATATGATTGTTTTGGTAAAGCAAGTTCATTCCCTTTTGAACATTTGCTTATCTGTGTAGAGGTTTGCTGTGGTAGATGCTGAACCCTTTCGGTGATGTTATCTGGATTTAGAAATGAAAAGAAGATGGAAGACCAGTCTCCTGAAAAAAGTGGTTGAATCTTGAAAGCAGAGATTGCCTTCTGAGCTAAAGCAGCAATCATTTCTATTACAATGTTACTTTTCCCATCCTTCTGAATATCATTAGATCCATACTTTCCTATGAACTGATCATACACAAAATTGGATATTTTGTCAACTGTTTCTTTATCAATTGGTGGAAAAGAAAGCATTTCCTCGGCATTTGGTAGAACTTTAATTTCACTTTTCCTAAATTCTCCTATCAGAGAGTTTGCAAATTTTATAGCTAAGCCGATAAGGTCTGGCTCTACCATTTCTTTTTTCTTAGAATCTTCATTAATACTTGGAAGAGAATAAAATTTACGAACAAGCTCAACAATTACATCTTCCAAAAATGTAGCTGAATAAAGAGCAGGCCGTGTTTTTTCTTTACCAGGTTTGCTAAGTACAGACATGTGCTCATAATCAGATAAGTCACTGGAAGATGATTCTTCACCATGTAAAAATGGCTGCAGATGATGATCTACAATTTCTTTCATGATGAATCCAGCTATTTTACTGAGAAATGAGCCTCCTTTTTTGTCTGTGCCTTTCTGTACTTCAGATTGAAATTCCGATTTCTTCAAAATATTATTACATATAGAGTCAACCAAATTCTCAATCACTTCTAATTGTATATTTTCTGCATTTTCCTCTGCTATGGCAAGGCGGATCTCATGTTCAGAAATTTCTTTGATAATTTCATTGGTCAGTTTTGACGTTGCATCTACAAACTCACAATCGGATGCAACTTCTTTCTCTTTAAGTTCACTTTCAGTGTCAGTTGAAGGGAAGATATGCACTAGCAGCTTGTATATAATATCTTCCAAAAGAGAACGAGGCAGCACAGTAATACATGAAGGCAAAGTATGGCTATCCTTTGTGATGACATTGAGCACATTTGTGATGATATTATCAGCTTGAGGGCAAGAATAGGAAGAAGCCACTAATTCTCCTGAAACTAATGACTGCACTTGATAATCATAAATTTCCTCCAATAGCAAATGATATATTTTTCTTCCAAAACCAATAGTGTCACTTTGTATAGCCCTGTATACTTGAATCAGAGATTTATATTCATCTAAAATTTTTTCATAAATGAGGTTGACTGTTTTTTTAACAATTTCTTTATATCTTTCTAAAAAACACATATCATCATCAAAGTTATCTGCAACTAGAATCTCAGATGTGGTAAGCTCCAAAACAATCGAATTTACTAATGTTGTAACAATACCAGTAATTTTGACTTTTACTGTATCTGGGTTTTCAGCAACCAAGAAATTGTGTGAGAATGCATAAAGGAGTTTACATAAAAGCTCAGAAATTACCTCCTCCAAAAACACAGCCGAGTTCACAATGAAAGACAACTCTCTTTGTTTAGGATCTGTTGCTTTCTGTTTATAAGTTTGATCAACTGCAGCTGAAATAAGAGTTTTATCTCCAGATGAAAATGACTGAAGATGGTGGTTAAAGATTTCTTTTATTATAAAACTTGCTATTTTTGAAACAGGTAAGTTACTTATTCCTTTTTTATCTCTTTTAAGAGATTGATACAGATTTGAATGTGAAAGATCAGCATAAATGGAATCAACCATAGACTGGATATCTTTTTCTGAAATCATACTTTGTTTTTCATTCCCATGTTTAATAATGCATATTGCATGCTTTGAAATTATTGAAATAATTTCATTTATTAGTTTTATGACTGTATTACTTAAGTCTGATTGAGAGGTATCTGGGTGTTCTGTCCTGGAGGCCAGTGGAGTCACCTGAGATATAAGCTGAGTGACAATTTTTTCCAAATGAGTATGTGATAACATGGTAGTATATATTGTTGATGCCTGCCTTTGATATCTTGATTTGGTAATACTACACTGAACTCTTTTTATTAAAACATTAGTATTGAGTTTGGAGTGTAACTTAAAAGGAAACTTTCCTATGAGGTTTGGATGAATTTGGAAATCAAAAGTTTCAGCAAGGATGATTTTAGTTATCCTTGATGCCAATGTTTTTGTGTCATTTAGAAAATCTTTATAATTTCCAGGCATTATTTCCATTTCATATTCTTGCAGAACTTTGCTGTATGCTGTGTCAATAATGTTCCTGACTACATCTCTCTTTACTGGAGGCAAACACAATTCTTCCTCAGCATTCTCTAGAATGCTAACTTCAACTTTTGAGAATTCCTCTGCTATCAAATGAATGAGTTTTTCAGCTTTATCAAACAGTTCTTCTTCTGAATCTCTTACTGATTTTGTTTGTACAATGCCTAACACCCTGTGGAATATTTTGCTTAAAACCCCACAGACTACATCTTCCAAGAAAGTTGAGGAATAAACACTGGCATAAAACCACTGTTTTCTTTCATCATCAAAATATGTATATGATGAAGAAGGTAATAACTTTCCATCCACAAATGGCTGAAGATGTTGTTGACAGATATGTTTAATGATAAAACCTGCTATTCTATCAATAAGAACATCATTACTGCTTGTGATATTTTGCTCAGCTAATTCTTGAGACTCAGAGTTTTGTGAAATATTTTTGACTACTGAGTCAACAAGGTGCTGAACATCATCTTCTGAATAAACAGACTTGGTTTCTTCATTTTTTGAAAATCGAATTTCATGTTGGGAAATTTTCGTCCTAATATCACTGATTATCTTTGAAGCAATTTCATTGAAATTCATTCTTGATCTGTAATTTGGAGTGTCTCTGTCTGGAACAATGCTAGGTGTAGAAGGAAAGATTCTAGATAATAGCACTCTTATCATGTCTTCCAAAAATGTGTATGGCAGCAAGGTGTTATATGGAGATAAATTCTGACTTGACTTGTTAGATTTACTGATGTTACTAAGAACATCCTGAACAATATTCTCAACCATTGAAATTGAAGAGGAAGATGATGACACATCCCCAGAAAATAGAGGATGAAGAAGGTAATCTGAAATAGCTGCTAAAATTAAATTTGTAATATTTTCTACAAAAATATCACTGTCTTTAGACTGTTTATCAACCTTAGGGTCTAACTCATGTTGTTTTAAAACATTTGTATAAATCGAGCTAACGAGCTCATCCACAATATCTGTATCTGCAAAGGTGTAAGGTTCTTTGTCATCATATAGAAGGTGAATTTTAGCTTTGTTAAAATGGTTATTTATTGAGCTTACTATTTTTTGGGTCATAGTTTCTAGTTCAATTTCAGTGTTATGCTTTGGACTAAAAATCTTTGATAAAAGTCTGGCAACAATTGCCCCTACAAATGTATCAGGATAAATACCTGAGGGTGATGGTGTGTGGGGTTTGTAAGACTCTATGACTTCATTGAGAATCTGTTTAACCATATTTGATATTGCATCCAATGGAGTATTTGGACAAGGTAAACCTTCTCCACACAAAAATGGTTGAAGATGATTTTCAATAATCTCTTGGATAATAAAACTGGCTATTCTGTCAATCATAATTGGGCTTCGGCTGACTATACTTTTCTGTATTGAAACAAGAGAATCAGACATTTGCATAATATTATGATAAACAGTATCCACCATCTTCTGAAGGTTTTTTCCAGTACATAGATATTGATTATCACATATAGTGAACCAAATTTTATGTTTTGAAATGGCTGATATAACCTTATTTATTATACAGGTAGACATTTCATTGAAATCTGAACTCATGAAATATTTGCTTCCCAAAGAGGAGGTCTTTTTGGGTGAAGGAATCAGTTGATATAAAAGTCTTCTGATGATGTCTTCTAAAAATGAATGAGACAACATGGTGCTATAGCCTGTTGAAGACCTGGTCTGGGAAGTAAATTTTCTCAAGTTATTTTGAACTTTCTGCAATATAATTTCAGCTTGTAGAGGGTAATATGAATTTGGTACGAGCTTTGTTCTGAAGCAAGATGGGAGTTGGTAGTCTATAATCTCTAACAATATGCTATTAGTTATTTGTTCTGCTATCGAGGTATTGTCACATGCCAGATCATCACAAGTCACTTTCAATTTATATTGCTGTAAAACATCATAATAAACTGAGTCAACAATTCTACTAATAGTTTCTTTATGGATTGGTGGAAAACACAGCCTTTCTTCAACATTCCGTAAAACAGTGACTTGTGCATTATTAAACTCATTTACTACATTGTTGACAAATAATGTATTCACCTCATTGAGCCGGCCCTCAGTGATATTTTCATTTTTTCCCCACAGTGAAGTAGAGAGATTAAAAAACAGTTCTGAAATTATCTCCTCCAAAAATGTGGCTGAATACACACTGGTATTTATATCTCCTGGATATAGCTTATTATGGAAGGGTACTGCATCCATATACTTTGTTCCCTGTCTTTTGAGAGTTGACACAAAAGTGGAATTTACCGAATATTCCTTGCCAAATGGTGCTTGCTTTTTGGGGCTAACCCCACTGAGATTATTCAAGGATGCTGTCAAGGCATTACTATCAGAACTCATGAATCCTGAAAAGGCTTTACCTTTTCCGAATTCTGTTAATTCTGGCCTTTGTGCATTTATGAAGCTAGATTGTATTTCTCTTCCCGTGTACTTCAAATGCTTGTTTGCAAAAGGTGGGCTTTGGGGGAGTTGTGTATTGTGACATAATTTGTCCATCAATGATTTAACCAAGCTGTGGGAAATGATAGTAAGCATCGAGTCTGATGATAATAAATCTTGATCCATTTCTGCCAGATCTTCCAAAAAGTCTGACATATAATCTCCTTGAAATTGTTCACAGTCCATTGCTCCCATACAATAAACAAATTCTTGATCTTCTACACTTTGCAGTATTTTTAAAAGTTTACATTCTTCTGCTGATATTTCATCAGAAAAAGGGCTATTATCAAGAAAAACAGTGCTTGTGCATTTTTCCAAAAGTGTTCTGATAAGTTTCTCACACACGACATTGAGAAGAAAAACTGATTTGGGGGTGAGGCCAATGTTATTTCCAAGTACTCTACTACTTTGCTGATCATTTGAGGATGAGAATGATGTTCCTGCTTTTTTATCAGAATTCATAGCCTCACCTGGATATTCATCTGGTAAAAATAAATCTAAAACAATATTAAAAACTTTATTGACTACTTCTTTGGATTCAGTCGTTTTTAGACTACCAACCAGATTGTCTAACTTACGTGCCAGATAATTTATTTTATTTTTTTGAAGGAGATTATCTGTTTGGTAAGTAGACGATTTCCAATTTCTGGATCCTTTCTGTCTTTCCATGGTATTTGTTTCATTGCCAATGGGCACGCTATTTCTCCTAAGCATGGAAAATGATTTTTTTCTTCCATTGCTTTCAAGGTGATGGTTTATTCCTATTTGTTTGGACATTACATGAATCACTCCTGTTAAAAGATCCTGAAAGAGATTATCAAAGTCAGCAGCAGCTACTCCTGGGCAGTAGATGTACTTTGTTTTTAAAGGAAACATTTGCTGTGCAATGTCAACCTCTATAATGTTACTGTTAAAGAGGATTTCAGTGATGATTTCGGAGATACTTAAAGCAAGTTCCCCAATAGAAATTGACCTACTCTCAAACATTTGAGAATCAATTGAAATAATCCTGTTAAATGCTGCATTTTGGCTTTCCAATGCTTTCTCTTTTTCTCTACTATCTTTGGTGTTACCAGAAATGCTTGAAGTTAAATGGCAAATGATAGACTCAGTGAGATCTTCACAAAATTGATTCAGTGAAGAATTATTATATATACTTCTTAGAGGCTGTTCCAATTCACATTTTTTCCTTGAAAATGTAGAAATAATGGATTTCTTCTCAATGGAAGCTGAAAAAAAGGATTATTTTTAGCATGCACGAAGAGAAATATGTAAAATTCAATATATTGGTAATTATTTACAAACAAATTTCACCTATGGAATATCTCACTAAAGAAAAAGAAAACCATAATCAAGAAAGATACTGGGTTTTCTTCACATATTTATTTCCTGTAGAATCTTTTTTTTCTCACCTGTAGAATATTAATTTTAGCCAGAAAATTTAGAAAATAATCCTAAAGAATTCAAGTCTCCCAGTCAAGTGCTGATATCTGTCTTGCTTAAATGGGTAAGGGCTCTAAGAAGCTGCAAATCATACGGAGAAATGATTTCCAAGTTTAATATTATAATCTATCATGTCTGCAGTGATCTCTAGAGAGCTCACGTAATTATTATTTTTTTTTAGTGAAAACATTTAATGTTAGGCTATTCATTACTTTTAGGATGTGTTGTAGTAATGACTTGATTGAAATGGAAATGTGCTAGAAAGGCTGGGGATAGGTTATAATGTACTTTAAACCCTTGATTATAATTTGTCACAACTGTACCCTTTTTTTCTATTCAACAGAATGTATACTGAAAATCATATACCTACTTGGGATGGCCAACTTCTTGGAAGCGGGATCTATAAAAACGCACTATGTTTCCTCAAAATATCCTCAAAATGTAATCACCTATTATACCTCTGCGTGTAAACTCAGGCAAAACTCTGTGGAGATGGAAGCTTTAAGCCTAGTTTTGACTACTAGATGGGATTTGGGCATGTTGAGATGAAGGGAATGAGGAAAAAAAGAGTTCCAAGAGAAAGAAGGAGCAGGAGTAAAATCACTAGAGTCCCTAAACATGTCTGGAAATAGAGACTAGATTGGATAGAAAGGGACAAATAAATACCAATGGGATGAATTCATGAATCTTCTCTCTCTTTCTCTCTCTCTTGCTTTTCTTTATTATTCCCTAAATTTAGTTAGAATATGTTTGGAGAAAGTCTGTTTATGAGCTTGAAATTGCAGACACACACTGTCCTCTTGAAAGAATGCCAGTTTTGGGGCACCTGAGTGGCTCAGTCGGTTAAGCGACCAACTTCAGCTCAGGTCATGATCTTACAGTTTGTGGGTTAAAACCCTGCATCAGGCTCCATGCTGACAGTTCAGAGCCTGGAGCCTGCTTTGGATTCTGTGTCTTCCTTACTCTCTGACTCTCCCCTGCTCACACTCTGTCTGTCTCTCAAAAATAAGTAAAAAAATGGTAAAAAGAAAGAAAGAAAGAAAGAAAGAAAGAAAGAAAGAAAGAAAGAAAGAAAGAAAAGAAAAGAAAGAAAGAAAGAAAGAAAGAAAGAAAGAAAGAAAGAAAGAAAGAAAGAAAGAAAGAGAAAAGAAAGAATGCCAGTTTTAAGGATGAGAAATGACCTCCCTATGCAGGTGGATAGGACTGATAGTACGTGTTCTGCTATTTGGATGATTGGTAAGTGATGTATCTGAACTGATACACGGCAACTAATTATTGGAAGTATTGACCCAGTTCAGGGCCATTTCAGTATTATTAGATTAAATTTTACGAAATTGCCAATAATTAACTGGTTTTAATATACAAAAAAATGTCTATTACATATGATTCAACCTCTTAAAAATGAGTGGAAATAACTTTGCGAAGATATGTTTAGATTTTAAGGATTGTAAGAATACTAGAATACAAACACAAGTTGGGTAATACCTCTGTCTTATAAATCATGACTAATAATGGCAAAGAATTCAACTGTACACCTTGGAAAGAGGAATCACTAACCTTCAATCAATGAACTGTGTCTTTGGTATGGGTATAAAAAAGTCACATAAAAAAAAAACCCTTTCAGAATGCTGTGGAACTTGTATCTTATAACCAACCAAAATCCTCTCCTTTGAAGTAAACCTATTTTTCTCATCTGCACATATGGAAAACTGAGAAACAGACTTGTTCAGATTCAAACCATGTATACATTAAACTTTTTCTTTTCTTTCTTTCTTTGCTTTTGTATCCTGATATATATTAAGAAGTAATTAAATATTCCACCTCCAAGGCTATTTTCAGAGAAACAATAAATGCAGCTTCTTAGATAGAAGAGCTTTTATATATATATATATTTTTTTTTCTGAATTATGCCTACTTTTAAAGGTTATTTCTTGCTTACCTCTAGTTTCAAAGTTCTTGAAATATGTGACCACAGATGAGGTGATATGTCTGGCTACCAAATGAATTTCATTTGGACCCAGCTCGTGATCAGCAAAAGCGATGACTTTAACTTCCTTCAGGGTCTTTATCTTTGGGTACATTTTACTTTCCCATTTTTGCAATAAAGAAAAATCTCCTCTACTGGCTTCAGGTTTTTTATTTTCTTCTTCAGGTATACAGCTGGTTTTATTATCCCACATTCTCCGTAGCCTTTTCTCCTCATTCTTTTGTGCAGATAATATAGACAAAGAGTTTTGCTTTGATATGAAAAATGGTTTCATTGTTTCCATGTTTTCAGTAATGTGTGGTTGACATGGAAAACCATAGCTTGATAGCACAGTGTTGACAATGTTTTCTGCAGCTAAACATATTTTGAGTGGAGAAACAGTTGTCTGAATTTGGTTTGGCTCAACTGGTTTTAGAGTTTCATAATGAAATACTCTTGGATTTTTACCTTTTCCTATTTCTATGAATGACATGACTTGCTTTAACGCTGCTTCGGTGGATTCATTTGCTTTCTTACACAGTTTTTGTAACACACTGCCTTCAGGAAGAGAATTATTTCCTTTCATGGTTTGGTCAAAATGACCAAAGTTCGATTCCCTGGGGCTGTAGTCTTGTACTGTGTTTATAAAGCATGATGGTTTATTTTTTGAATCAAGCCTTTCCATTGGCTCTGAGCTTTTAATTGTATCTTCTACAGAAGCTTTGGCATAAGAGAGTAAGTTTGATGAAGGCTTTTTTTTCATATTTTCCTCTGAATAACACACAAAACTAGGTACACTGTTTTGTGAAGGATTATTCCCCAAACTAACTTCCTTTAACTTTGACATGGGCATTTTCATATTAGTTGCCAATTCAACCTGATTAACAATATAGGTATTTTCTGCTCCATGGAACAAACTTTCCTTTGGAAGCTTATTGATATGGGTGCACTGGTCCATCAGTGTGCCGATGATCTCACTTGCTAGAACAGTCTCTTTCAATGTGCTAACTGAAGATGGTTCCACTTGACTTATTTCTTTCTCTAGCTTATTCTTAATTATACCAAGCATGCCACTGACAATTTTAACAGCATATGTAAATAATTCTGAATGGAATGAGTGAATCTGTAGAAGAGTATTCTGTATGTCTTCCTTGGAAATACTAGAATTTGAATTGGGTTCATCAGAAAACGTTTTCAGTGGTTCTAATTTTGGCAACATCTTTTTGTTTAATAGTCTCTGTTGGACCGGAAAAAAGTTTTCTATAGGCATTTTCACTATTTCAGAAAACTCATATTTAGAGATATATTTAAATTGCAAGTCTACAAATGACTCTAAAATGTTTAAAACCCTTTCTACAATTTCTCGAACTTGGTTGCTTGAGCCCAAAGAAATTTGGTCTATTGTCTTTGTGTTAGATATTGGTACACTGCTGAGGATGTCCTTGATTGGCAAAAAACACAGCTGTAATTTTTCAAACAGCATTTCAATAATTTCTCTTCCAAACATATTAATTTGTGCTTTGGTGTCTTCAACTCTAGTAGAGGCTACTTTAAAATGATTATAGAACCTGCTTTCACAGTCCTTCAGATGTGGCAAATTTAAAAATGAAAGAGAATGTTCTAACTCTTTTGCTTTTATTGGGATTTCAGTCAAAACATTTTCAGCTATCTTCATTAGTGTATACTTTTCATTTTCCATATCATTTGATTCTGTTTGCCATTTGTCAAACAATTTTTTAAATATACCTTCTTTAGGAAAAATCTGTTCTAGCTGTGAAGAAACATTTTCCAAGTAAAAACATGCTTGTGATTTGGCGAGATACTCTGCATCTGAATTCCCCTGTGTAAGTCTGAGATCATCCACATGGGAGTGCTTAATTGGATAAGCCAAATTCTGGTTACTTGTAGCATATAATCCTTGCAAAACTGTATTAACTATTTTTTTTGCTGCCATGATTTGATCAGATGGTAAAGCTTTAACATTTAACATTGCTCTAGCTTGCTTCATCTTTTCAAATTCTTTCACAATTGTTTCCAGGATATTACTTACTATATCCTTGGCATACATTTTTAGTTCTGAAGTGGGCAATTTCATTTCCAGTAAGTTTTGGGCATCGCCTGTTGATAGGGTGTGTGGCAGCCCAGTGGTGACCTTGGACTGATTATCTTTTGGAGTCTTTTCTCTAGGACCTAACTTGGTCTTGCTCTTGACCTTAGCACCGCTAGGTCCTAGGTATGATTTTGTTTTAAATTTAGGCAAAGGAGTAACTTTTGATTTTGCTTTTAAACTTGTTTTAAAATCTAGTTTAGGGCTGGCCTTGGAGCCCACTTTAGAACTGTGTATATTTAGATGTTGTACCTCATCAGAACAACTTTCAGGGGACAAAGTCTCTTCTAGATGAGTTGAGGCAAATTTTATGATCTTATTAAGAACTATTTGGACTAATTCCTTCCCCACTTGCAGTGGTGAATATTGAAAAAATTTGTTTTCTAACAGAGAGACATTTTGACTGCCTGCATAAGGATAAACTTGTGGTATCACATATCTGGTGGGATTTCTTCCTTTTCCTGCTTGTTTAGTTTCTTTGATGCATCCTGCTTTCTTAGACAAGGTATCATTGTTGTCAGATGTTTCTTTTTTATTACTCTCATTTAATGATGTAACTACAGAGTACATTTTCCCCAAAACACGTTGAACTATGTCATTTGCTATGCTGTTAATCTGTGATTGAAAGTTTTTTTGTGTTTTGTCTGACGTTTTAATCTTAGAATTAGATACACAGTGGGGTTTTTCATTAAATGGCAGCAAATGGCCCATGATTTCCATTATTCTTTCATGAACTTTAGTTAAAACTTCTTCCACCACACTGAGCAGTGCAATTTTTTCTTTTTGTTTTGATTTTCCATTTCTCATAAATATTTCTTCCAAAACAATTCTCTGGCTTTCTTGTTCCAATGCCATTTGGTTTTGTTCTAAAGGATATTTTGAGAGCTGAGATAGTTTATTTTTCTCCTGCTCTCTTTGTCCTAGCAATATTTCATTCGATACAGTTAGTTGTGAAAATAATCTAGGATTCTCTTTTGAGTAAACATCAATTTCCTTTGCAGATCTTTTATCATATAAACTCTTTAAGATACTGTTCATGATTCCACTCACAATGATGTTTTCTTGGAACAAAATGTTGTTTGGATATGGATACATCTTTTGGATTTCTAAGTCTAAGTCATTTTTAATAAGTTTCAAAATGGCACTTGCAATGATATCAGCATATTCCTTAAGAGTAGCTTGTGATAGATGAATTGTGGAGTTAATATTTTCTCTGTAACTTGCAAAAGTGGAATCTGTGAGTTCTTGGCTGAGGATAGTTTTAGTGGATATTTTCAGGACATTCACATTTGATTCTACTTGGCTTGATTCATGAAAGATGCTATCATCTTGTATATAATTTTCCAGTTCCTGGCTATCAGATGACTCTTCTTTAGTCTGGAAAGCAAGAGTAATTAATGAATCTATTCTTTCTGTGGCAAAAGCTTCTAACCTATTGAAAATAGTTCTAGTAATGAAGTTGGCATTCTCCTCACATGGGTCGGGAGCAGATTTCTTGGCATCTTTTTTCTCTATTGTTATCTGACAATCATCAACATAAGCTGACTCCAGATCTCTTGAGGATGGCCAATTCTCTGTTTGTTCTTCACTTTTTGACTCCATTAGAAGAGGCTGTTGACACTCTGCTTTTGAAAATATGTCACAAATGGTCAGGGGCAATCTTGCAGAAGTAAGATTCTTTGCATTTATGCTCAGCATGACAGCAGAACTGACATTATGAAGAACAATATCTACTATATCATTAGATATCAAAATGACATCTGATTTAGGAACTGAAAGTTTTGGGATAATCTTATTTGCATCCTCAGTGAATATTTCAGAGGTTGCTCCAGAATGTTTTCCAGCTATGCTACGTTTCAGAGTGGATGTAGCACTAGATAGATTATTTTGATACAGTGTTTTTTCACAAATATCATGTAAGATACCTTCAATGGTATCTTGTATTTGAAACTGAAGTACTTTTCTATATTCAGTCTTATTAAACAGCTTTTCAATAATACCTTCTTGTTGATCTGAATTAATCTCTTTCTCAGAATTGCTTTTGTCACATTTTCGTTTAGAGGACACAATATGTAACACAGTGTTAACAATTTGACTTGCAATATTTTCAGAAACCACAATGTTGTGAGTTAAGAAACTACTATTTTCCCTTTCTTTATCTAACTCATGTTTGATTCCTTGTAAAATTTTTTTAGCCACTTCCGTTGCATACATATTTAATTTATTCAAAGACAGTTGACACATTGAGTTGGTTTTTTCTGATGTAATATGATCCACTGAGCAAGAGGAAGACTGATCTTCAGAATACAAATCTTTGGCTGATAATGCATTGCTTAATGCATTTTTATCCTGCTGAATAGATAAAGCCATTGGAACTGTGAAGTTGATTTTGGGATAAAAGAGAGATTTTACTTTGGAAGTAGCAAAAGTTTCTAAATTTGTTAATATTGCCTGTACAATATCTTCAACTACATTTACTTTAGCCTGTTTGTCAACACTGAATTTGGACTTAGAAGTACAAGGGTTCTTATTTAGCACAGTGACAGAAGACTTTCCTCCAAGGGTGTGTTCCTGTAAAGAAACATTTGCTCTAAAGGTGATGGATTTATACCTATTTTCACTTGTGTTTCTTTCTGGCATGGCAGCTGCATAAAGCTTATGAAATACAGTTCTAACAACATCATCTGCCACTATGATTACATCTGCTTCAGACACTAAAGGACCCATTATTTTATCTATAAATTGAACAGGTGTTTGAGGGATTGTCTCATCAGTGTTGTGAGGGATGCCACTTAAATGAGAGTGAGAGAGAGAAAGCACGTTTAATTGATTGACCAAAGAACTTTGAAAAATTTCATTCAAAATATTTCTTATAATGGGAACGACTGGTGATTTCTGTGGTTCTTTGAGTTTCACTTCAATTTTGCTTAAGGTTCTCTCTAGAACCCACTGTTTAAGAGAATCTGATTTAGTTTCTTCTCTTGGTAATGTTCTCTCCCCAGTAAATTCCTTCTCTGTATGTGAGGCATTTTCTAGAAATGAATCTGATTCAGCTCCTCCAGGAAGAAAATTTCCATAAGTTGGCCTGTACTGATAAGTTTTAGTGCCTCCCTCTTCAGATTCAGTTTCATTAAACATATCTGAGGATACTACATCTAAAATTAAATTAACTATCTTCTTAAGCATTTGATTCTCAGGTGGTGGGGTATTTGCACTTGTCTTCAAATCTAATGAATTCGTATTTAATTCTGTTTGAATAGCTTTCAAAATAGTACTTGATATCTTTTTTGCATTCATGTATAAAGCAGACTGCAATAGTTCTTCATATGTGTCTGTGAAAATACTGGGACTTTCATATCCCAAGTCTATTTTATTGCTTTTTTCATTTCCATCATTAATAGAACCCAGATCTTCTAAATTTCCATTAGCAAACCGTTCCAGTTTGGCAAAAACCATATTAAGAATATCTGTAGCTACAGCTTTCAGTTCATTTGATTGTATTTCTTTTGTGCTCCCTGTTTTGGAAGTCACCAAAGCAATAGTTTTTGCTTTGCTTTTTGTCACCTCTTTATTACCCTCCTGAATTATCCTGGAAACTATGCTGGAGATCATGTCAGCACATTTGGCCATTTCCTCAATAATTGAAGCAAATGATAGGCTGTCGATATCAAGAGACTGAGGCTCTGAGACAGCTTTAAATCCAGAACTTGCAAAACTGGTATCCATATTAACACTACATAATTTTGCAAGGATGTATTCCAAAATTGCTTTGGAAATCAGCTGAATGTTAGACTGCAATGAAGTGGCCATTTGAGGATTTTCATTCTCTTCTCTGTCTTGCTTACTACCACAAGATGGCTGATGGTGAGAATGGGCTCCTATGAGATTACAAAACATTTCATAGAGTATTTCTCCAATACTGTCTAACACTTGCAATCTGGCCTTTTCTTTGAGATCTTTTCCATTCACAACACTATGGAGAGCACATGGAGTGGCCAAATATTTGTGAAAAGATCTTTTATCCTGCCTACTTGGCAAAATGTTTTGTTTATCAACATTGTCAGACACATATGAAGTTGTAGGCTTTGGCTGTTCTGAAGGGAGTGAAATAGTGCTTTGATCTGAATGTCCACTTGATAAGATTTCACAAATACAAGTTAATAATGGAGATCCCATAATGTCATCACTGAGATTTGAGACAAGAGATTCTAATTTATCAGTGTCATCAAAAAATCCTTTACCTGTAAGAGATTTGGTATGGTCTATTTCCCTACGATTTAGAGTTCTCTTACTGAGTTCTAGTTCAGTCTGGATAGCATGCAAAACAATGTTTACCACTTTAGTTGTATAAGTACTAAGTTGAGATCGTAATGAAGATTGCTTAGCAACTGAAGGTTTGAAGACCATCTGCAATTTCTGACAAATGAATAACTTCAGCCTTTTAAAAATTGTATTAATGATCTTATCAGCAATGCCATCTATAGGTTGAGGTTCACTTTTTTCAGATTTTAACAGAGAAGGCTTTTCAGGATCTACACTGAAAGAAGATAAATATTTCACTTTCTTTTCACTGTCAAACCATATTTTTAATGGCTTTTTATTTGGTGCTTCTTTGACCATGGGAGGAGTATCAGAACTATCTAGAGAAGTTTGAACTGATGATGAAATGGAACCTCTAATGGTATTGGGAATGAAACTTAAGGCCTTCTGGAGTATATTTAACACAGCGTCTGTTATTTCTTGAGCCACTGCACTAATTTCTGACACGGAGAACACCTGGTCCATCCATTCTTGATGTGACAGTCCTTGAGATTTTTCTGAAACAAGAACAGAAGAAGCTGCTTTGCCAGTTTTACTGTTTAAGTGACCAGGAGGAACAGAAGATAGGTCCTTGAGCATTTCTGTTAAAATATTTCTAACTATGTTTTCTGAAGCCTTTTGTATGTGATACTTTTGATCTTGGCTGAAAATCAAGCTGTCTCTATTCAAACAGGGTTTTTCCTTTAAAATTTCTTTATTATTAAAAGATGGTAGCCCAATCTTTAATCCCTCATCACAAAATGCAATTTTGTTTCTTCGAGCAGAAGCTTCTTTAAGTGGTATGCTATTTCTTTTGTATTCAAAGCACGTGTTCCCTTTTTTAAACCAATTCTCAGGAATTCGTTCCCAGGATTTTGGTTTTTCATCTTTAAAAGATGAATCAAGCACATTTTTCACAATTCTGTCTATTTCTTCATTATCATCTTCAGAATAAAAAACCATGCCTGGAACATTAACAGGTGGAAATGGTCTTCTAGACCTAGGACCATTAGATAATCTGGTGTCAGTGAGTCTGTACTTTTCTTCAGTGTCAGAAGGATTTCTTAGTCTAGGGTGTCTACATTTTTTAACATCATCTTTTCCTGGATCCTGATGTAGGTGAGTGAAAATATCATCAAGAAGCTGAAGGAATATTACTGTTTCTTCAGATGCAATAAGTCTCTCGTCATTAAGTTCAGATTGTATGTATCCTAGTATAGTGCTGACTGCTTCCTCTATATAGCCAACCAAAGAGGACTGGGAAAAAATATTTGACATTAAATTTTTTATTTCATCTTTAACAACTGAATTTGCAGCATCAGGTTCAGGACTACATTTCTTTTTGTCTGCTCTTTTGAGTGACACATATGTTGGGTCTGTCACAGGTTGCTGATGGGGAAGTTCAACTCCATCTTCAAGATAAGGAAGTTCATTTTGCTTACATGAAGCAAGAGTCATCAGCTTTTCTAAAATGGAATGTACCATATCCTCTGCAATGTCACACATGGGTTCCAAATTACAAGGCAGTGAAGCTTTTAAAGGTTTTCCATTTGATGGACTGAGGTATTCTCTATCGGGTGTTAAGCCTGGTTTAATGTCAACTGGTATATATTCTTGTGAAAATATCTCAATGCACTTTTTCTCAACTGCTGACTGTAGCTTCTCAAGCATATTCTCCACAATCTCTGAGGCTGCTGAGCAGATATCGACATTGTAAAGCAAGTCTTCCTTTTCAGGTTCACTTTGGTCAACAAAAACTTCAGCAGTAACAGAAGAAATAGAAGGAATGGCCTGTGTTAAATCAGACATTATTTCTTGAAAAATGCTTTCTAAAATCAATTGGGTTTCCCCTTTTAAGTGACACTTAAAGTTAACGAAAACATTCTTCAAATTCTTCATTTCATTCATGGCTTTTTCTTTTTGATCAGGAACAAGTGAACTCTCTAAGCCATCTGTTTCAGTGGTAGCATCCTTAGACTTTTTTGTGCCTGTTTCAAATGATGTCAAAAGGTGGCTATCCGATTTACAAGTTCGAAGCTTAGGATTTGCATCTACCATACTGGTTTTATCAAATTTGAGTTCCGATGTTATAGATGGCCCTTTCTTATGGTATGTTTTCCCCACAAATGTTCTTTTGACGTGGGCAGAAGGTGGTTTTAAAGGTGTGGTTGGTCGCCTTACTGAGATGTCAAACTCAAAGGCACAAGGCTCTCGTTGAAATGTTTTAGTAGTAGCAGATGTGTAGCTTCTGTATGTAAACTCTTCACTGCATGTGCTACAGAAACTTGAACTCTCTGAAGAGAGGATGGAGTCAACAGACCCTGGGTATGCTTTATTCCGGAACCTTTCTTCATACTTCGTGATGGCTGGGTATAATATACTGGTCACTGTAGCTACAACCCACGTCATTACATTCTGAATTATACTATTCAGTTCTTCAGAAGTTACCTGAAAGGAAAGGAGGCAAGCAAGAATGAAGAGGAAATCAGGTAATAATTAATTCTGGGACAGAGGGTAGCATTTAATTTTTTATATAAAACAGTTCATAGCAGGATATATAGCATGGTTATAAAGAAAACATAGCAAAAAAATTATTTATAATTTCAGATTAATTTCAAATTGGCTTCTTTTGTACTGTAGTAAAAACTTTTTTATAAGTTTTCATTTGATTCACATTCCCTCATAAGTTTTTTGTTGTTTCCCTCAACATTTATTGCCTAGATAAATGACTTTTTGGTAAAAATAGAAAAAAGAAATCTCACCAAACTGCTGTCTAGCCATACAACAAGGCTTCTTGCAAGTGTTGGCAAGAAGAAACAGTGCCTACAACCCAGAAATATTATTTAGTAATATGCCAGGTTATTTATAACAGAGTATTTCTCCAAACAGATGTGGTCAAAACATTTGGGTGCTTTCAGAGGCATCTGTCCAGCTAGGATGTAAGGATGAAAAATAAGCCCTCCCTCCTTCCCATTCCCTGCTATAGAGGTGAACCTGTGATTATATATATGGAAATGACTGGAGCCAATGTTAAGAATTATTTGATAAGCAACAAAAAGAGAAATGGTTATGGAGACTGAATCACTTTGTATGGAAAAAGAGTATCAGCGCAAACTATTTTAGATAGGAAGGCTGAGAAAAGATGATGCAATCAAAGAACAAAAAAAAAAAAAAAAAGGCTCCCCTATATTGGGGTCTGAAAGAGTCAGGAAAGGAACAAGAGTTGGGAAACTGAATTCCTCATTTTGAGCCAGAAATATAAACCCAAGGACCAGATTTGGGTAACCATTTGTTCAGTAGTTAATGATGATGTCACAGATTACATTGGACCAAAAGCAGAAATAGAATGCATGTGTAGAATTCTATAAACCATGTCTTATTTCCTGAAAATAATTTTGGCTTTGCAAAAATCCTTTTGCCTATAATAAATGAGTTGTCTGTTTTTAAATTGTTATTACTCTTAAGACATAAAGGCTATAAACAAGTAATTGGCCTCAAAGCCTGGAAGGCTGGTATGATTCCTGAAAAAAGGCTTTTCATACCCAAAATGTTACCTTAAGTTAGCATGGAAATATTCATATTTCAAGGCAACATTCAAAGAAAACTTAACATCTATGTAACATACTCTCTCCTGATACTTTGGAGAGTATTTGGAGACTCCCTAGGGAGAGCAATTCTAGCCTACGGTAATCCATGAGTCTTCCAAGATATTTTATCACTTATTGTACATGGCTAGTGATTTGAAAACATTTTGGATGACAGCATATGTTGTATAATACTTCTTTTATACAATGACATCCTAAATCAAGTATTTTAAAAATAAAATCTAAAGTTTAACAGAAAAAAGTAATTGTTATAAACCACTGTAATACATTGATTATATATATGAGACATTTATTACATATACTAGTTTTGTATTCAAACTTTATTACCAGAGATGATTTTTAAAAATCTCCATTATTCTTCTTAGGCTGCATGTGAGGAGGAGTTTCTAAATTTTGTATATGAAAGAGGGATATTCCAAAAGTTTTCTAAGTAGTAAAATATAGGAATTAAAACCTAATTTTCAGTTGCTTTCCATTTTAATGTTAAACTAAGAAATATTCCCATGAATCAAGGGAATATATATAGTGTTTATATTTGCTACACACTCTAAGACTTGAGCAAGTGTCCATGTGAAAAAGTGTGTCAGAGTATGGGTTGTTCAACCCCCTTTCTCTTTCCTGACTGGTCCGACTAGTTCCAGAGTTGGGCTTTGTAAATTGGACCATATTATCTACCTGTTCCAAGTCTCAGCTCATAGGTGACCAGGTACCTTTTTATGTGACATTCTTAGGTGACCAGGCCACTTCTTACTAAAATAGCTAGAGCCAGACCAAGGCATCCCAGTTTACCAGCCAAGTCTGCAAAACCATGTCACCAAATGGCTTCCCATGATAAAACAGGTTTGTGGTATTTGACGCTGTCATGATGGCTAGGTCCCTTAATGTCATTCCACACACTTCTATGCCCATGAGACTTCTTTTGGAAGGGCCAACATTATCTTTTGAAAAGAACTTCAGATCACTAAAAAATTTAAGGGTTAATTGAAAGTAAGCTTTAAAGAAAGGCAAAGAGGAAGATATTAATATCAGTAGGTGATTCCTCATTATTTTATTCAGTTTTTTTCTATTATGACACATTAGAAAATACTATTAATATGCTGTTCATCAATGATACATACTTTTTCTTGCAAGCAATTTTGTATGCAGTTCTGTTCTCTGTAAAGTGAAGAAAGGTTAAGCGTTTAGTTATTGTCTAGGGTCAAGAATTTATATAACTTTTTCCAAAACTTCTAATAATTAATCATCTATTTCTTGTCTTTATATCTGAGGGTTTTTCTATAGAAATTCAAAAGGAAGAATAAACTTTATTTTTTGTCAAACCCTCCCCCTCCTCCCAATTTAACCTGTTCCTTTGATACTGGCCCACATATTTTATTGCTTGAAGTAATAAAATTGTAGCTGTTGCATAAAAATATATATCTATCTAAAAATTCTACTTCTGACCCTCCTTTGCCATGCCTGCTCTGTGGCTCTCTGGAGGAGGGCACAGAATTGGAGGGAGAAGGTGGGCTACTCCTTTCTATTCGTTACAAGGCACCATAAGGTGGCAAGGTACTTGACCAGACCTTTCTGACAATCTTGCACTCTCATCAAACAGCAGGAAGGGAATATGTGAATGATTATTCAATAACTATGTGTTAAAATAATTGTCTAGCCATGGAATACCAGCTTACATACAGACCTTTTCGATATATGGAAATATTCTATCATGAGTTCTAGTTAGAATTATTTATCATCACACTCTAATGAAATAGAAAACACAGTTTCAGAATTGTAACAAATAAAAGAACAATAATGAAAATTATAGGAAGAAACCAAGTAGTTAATAAAACAAGATCTAAGAATATATGATACTTTCATAAATTTCAACATGGGTTCTTTGCTTATATTCATATATATGATACTCTCATAATTTCAACATAGGCCCTATTCCTACTTTCTTAAAAGATAACTGATATTCTCTTTCTGTTTTTGAAAGCTTATTCTATCCATTATAAAACTCAATTTTTCCCAAACTCTGAAGTTCAATCATTTGAGACAGTAAGACTGAGAGTACATACTAAATCTTGGTAGAAAAAAGAAAAAACAAGAAAATACCAACCTCCCCACCCCCATTACCCTCAAAAACACCAAAAAAAAAAAAAAAAAAAAAAACCCTTCACTGATTTCCGCTCAGAAATTGGGCTTGGTAGAAACCCTATTTAGACTAAAATATTTTTGCAATATGGAACCTGGAGCGTGAGAGCTGATGTCAGTGACATGTCTTTTGGCCTTCTTTATTTTTTCAGGATCTGATTTCTCAGGTCAATCTACGCATAGTTTTCTACCTTTAGATATTTTACAGTTTAACTCTCCCAGATTCATTTTTATGTTCCCTTCACGTTATACTGTAGACACCAGATAGAACTCAAGGAGTCCAACCTATTGACTAATAATTGTCCCCAACAGGGTTTCTGCCCCAAAGGCATGCATATGGATCCAAACAAAGAGTAAAACGCCTAAGAATAAAGTTAACCAGCTTTATGAAGAACACTTCACACAATTGTAATAACCAGATAAAGGATGACATTGGTGAAAAATGAGTAGAGTAAGAAGCTCTAAAAGCCTACTCCTCTATTAAAGCAGTGAAAAAACTGGCAAAAAATCTTTTTAATAATTCCATGGTAAATATTTAATAATCACTTTTTTCAGTTTTCTGAACTCTGAAAATTAACCAAAGGTTTTCGGCATGCCAAAGAATGTTTATTCAAGAAAAATGGTTGCTCTATGTAAAAACAATGAGCTCTGTGCTATTTTAACTTGCCCTATTTTTATCTCCTTCCTCCAGTAGTATGCTGCATTAGTCAACCTAACTTCAGGTCAGAATACAAATAAAACACAACCAAAGATACTTTCGGGTCTGACTATGACTGTCCATCATACATTTGTCACATTCCTGTTTTTAAAAAAGTTTTTAATGTTTATTTATGGGGGGGACGCATAAAGAGAGGGAGACACAGAATCTGAAGCAAGCTATGCTGACAGCTCAGAGTCTGATGCAGTGCTTGAACCCATGAGCTATGAGATCATGACCTGAGCTGATCACTTTTTAAAAATGTGTTGATATCGGGACCAAAATAATAGTTTTTCTCCTAAAGTTGATAAGATCATACATAATTACTAGAAGAACAGGTGACCACCAAGTTTTGAGTAGTGGAAATCCCTCAGGCCCTAAAAATTTCTCTCCAGAGACTTGCAATTTCCATCATCAGTGGATATTATTTGGGATTATACTGAAAATACCCTTTAGTAGAAGAATAATTGATGAAGTCATTAATACTTGAAAATTAAGTTACCATCCTTAGGAAGCCAATAATCTCAAGAAGCCTAAGAAATGGTAAATGTTTCAAAGGGGATAAAAGTAAAGAAACAAAGTTTAGATCCTGGAAATCTCCTGAAGTGAGGGCATTAATGTAGAATACACTTGAAAGGTGCATGAAGGCTCTGAATATAGAGGAAGTGTAGAACCACAGTGGGGCTAAGGAAACAGAAAAGGAAGAGGAAGAACATTGGCTTTGTCTGCTTTACAATTTACACTTAGTGCTGAGAGTTTGCAAAAGACAGAAATTTTAAGTAGAACTACTAGAGGATTACATGTAATCATTTGCTTTTGAATAGCACTCGTGATTATTAAAGTATTAATTTATAATTACACATTAATTTTCTTAGATACTTACATATTTGTGAAAGTATGAGAAGGGAAAGTACCCCGGGCTGTGGCATGAATCTGAGGTCCTATTTATTAGAAAAAGAATATTATAATTAGTTTGTATTCTTCCCCAGAAACTTGTAAAGTGGAAATTAATATCCTTTAGTAGATCTTTATTCTCTGAGACTGTCTGCCTCCAGAGACTCTCCATGATGAAGTCCAAATTCCTTAGCAAGGCATAAAATATACCATACAATCTGATGTCCTTACCTCTGTAGTGTCTACTCTGGTTAGCCTATATATTCATATATGTTCTATAGTCCAGAGACATAAAATGGCATGGTTTCCTGAATATAACATGTTTTCCATGCCTCTGGGCCTTTGTTTGTGCCATTTCCTTTGCCTTGAGCACCCTGTCTTTTAACTTCTCATCTTTTAGGCTTCATTCAGTTTGTGTTAATTCCACTAGAAAGACCTGCCTAAGTAAATAATTGTTTTTTTAGTGCTCCTAAAGCTTTCTACACATATTTCTATTATAAAAACTCATTATGTTATATCATACTTAAATGTTTACTCTTCTGTCTTCCTGACTATGACATAAATTTACCACTTTATCCTCAGCACTTAAACACACAGTATTCAGTAACATTTATTTGCTGAATGCATTATTTAATTAATATGCTCCCCACCATTTATTCACTGGTTTATCTGTCATTAATCTCCTTCTGCTTGAATATTGTCTAACTTACTTTGTACATAATCCACCAAGATTCTATTACTGGGCTTTAGTAAATACTTTGCATATAAGTGATATAGGAAGTCTCTGTAGTACATTTCTACAGGCATGCTGAATTGGTGTATGTCAACTATTCAAAAACACAAATGAATAAAAGATGTAGACAAAAAGAATGCCCTTATTTCAGGAAGTAGTATTAGTAATTAGAACCAGTTGACAGTCAAGTTTAAATGTAACTCTTGTTTCTTTCAGTAAATGAGTAATCAGTTGCTACTAGTGATGTGTATAAAAAAGTCTTATTTAAATCCTGTGAACATTTTTGGGGTTTGCTTTTGTGGATATGTTTTTGTGTATGTTCAGTTTGGATAAGTAACTGGTGTTAAGAGTGAATAACTGGGAGATTAAGTGTGAAGACAGTACTATTTTAAAAACAAAATTAAAAAAAAGACGTTTATGTGGTTACCATTAATATGTGAGAGTTAGAAATTTAAAAAAATTGCCTATATAAAATTTTGCCTGAATTCTATATAAAACATTGAAACTGACCTTTTAAAACAGCCAAGCAAAAAATTTGGGGGTAGCACAAATCTAGAGTGGTAAGCAAGTGTTAAAGCTGATGCCTGCTTTATGAGCATTGACAATACCTGAAAATAAAAGGTGGGGAATCAAAACTAAGAATCTCTAAAAATATCCTGGAACCCAAAGAGCTATATGCCCCTGGTGGAAGAGTTGTCTTTTAAAAAAACACATGCCGCAGAAGTAGCAGCACAAATAAATTATGTCTTGGTTTCAGTCTTGGAAAGGAAAAATAAAAACCTCTCTTTTTTAAAATTAACTTTAATGTTTATTTTATTTTTGAGAGAGAGAGAGAAAGAGAGAGCTAGCAGGGGAGGGGCAGAGAGAAGGAGACACAGAATCCAAAGCAGACTCCAGGATCCCAGCTGTCAGCACAGAGCACCATGTGGGGCTTGAACCCATGAGCTGTGTGATCATGACCTGAGCCAAAGTCAGACACTTTGAGCTACCCAGATGCCCCAATAATATCTCTTAAGAGATAATCTGCAATTATGAATTCTTATATGACTTTGAGGTTCAAATATACTGTGTATTCCATAAAAAATTAATTTAAAATGAACCAGCATTGATATCTTTTCAGATGCCTATTAGAAGCCTATTTCTGAGTTTGAGCCCTGCTAGCAGCACAGAGCCTGCTTAGGATTCTCTGTCTCTCTGTCTCTCTGTCTGTGTGTGTGTGTGTCTCTGCCCCTCCTCCCTCCTCTGTTCACATATATAACATTAATAATGCTCCCTACACACACACACACACACAGATATGAAGGAACACCATGCTGTTAGCAGAACAAAAGCATTAGATGTAGACATCAATGATTTAAAATATTTTAATTACTAGATATAGAATATTTAAAAAGTGATTTTTTTCTGTTTAAATATATGAAGAAGGAATTGGAAAACGCAGGAATGGAACAAGAACCTATCAAAAAAGTCCAGTCAAATTTGAAAAATAACTATTCAGAAATTATATACCTACATACACACACACGTGTGTGTGTGTGTGTGTGTGTGTGTGTGTGTGTGTCTATACATATAAAACCTTTAACCAGAAAATTTTCAAAATGCATTGAATTGAATTAGGTAAACTGAAGAAAAATTGGTGGTTTGGGGGACAAACTTGAAGAAATTAACCAGAATGCAGCACCAGAAAAATAGAAAATATGATAGTTGTTAAAAGATGTAGAAGAAAAACAAGATACCTAACATATACATAACTGGGGTTTTAGAAGAAAATAATAAAGAAAGTGAGAAGAGGCAATACAGGAGAGAAAAATAGCTGAAACTTGTCCAGATCTGTTCACCACAGTGATACTAAGGAAAAACAAAGTCAAGGCCTTAAAAGCAGACTGATGTGTGTGGGGGAGGGGTGGGGCAGAGGGGGAGAATCACTTACACAAGAATTACTAAGTAGAAAAAAGTAGAACATTTAAATAGAAGAGTATCTTTAAAGTGCTAGTAGAAAAATAATTGTTCTTAAAAGCTTGTATACCCAGGCATAACTATATCCTAGAACATGGGTAAAATAGAATTTTATCAAATAAAATCTGAGGATTTACTCCCAACATAGATTCACTACTGTATTAACATCGGATTTACTTTAGGAAGAATGAAGGTAATTCTATAAAGTACAAAATGCAAAAAAATGATAAACAAAAAAATATTGGTAAGCATGAAAAAATATAAACAAAACCTGGATGTATAAAAAACAGAATTTTAATTTAGCTGGTAAAAAAAATCAAAACTAAATTATTGGTTAAATATGAGATAGTGATTTAGAAGTAATAAACTATTCTAACTTTTACTTTAAGTATACATGTTAAAATTCAAAAGTAATTGTCAAAAGGAATATACACAGCATACAGTTTCTAAAACAGTAGAAGGAAAACTGGATTAAAAATAATTTTAATTGGGGCGCCTGGGTGGCTCAGTCGGTTAAGGGTCCGACTTTGGCTTAGGTCATGATCTCACATGAGTTTGAGACCCATGTTGGGCTCTGTGCTGACAGCTTGGAGCCTAGAGCCTGCTTCAGATTCTGTGTCTCCCTCTCTCTCTGCCCTCACCCCCCCTTGCTTGTGCTCTCTCTCTCTCAAAAATTATTTTTTAAAAAAATATTTTAAAAATAAGTTAATAAACTGAAAGAGAATCAAAGCAAATTAAATACTTTGAAAGAAAGCAAGAAAGGAGAAATTAGAAGAAAATATGAAAAAGCAGAACCAAGCAAAGCACTAATATGGCAGTAAACATCTTCCAAAGATTGTAATTAACATAAATATAAATGGCTTAAATTCAATTAAAAGTCAAATTCTAAGACTCAGTAAAAATGAAACAAATGCAGGATTAGAATGATTACAAAAGTCACATCTATCCATAAAAAGATAGTAAGATTTAAAGCTGATACACCTGTATTAGTTTCAGACCTACTAAATCTGAGACAAAAAGCATCACTTATGGTAAAGATCACACATACTAATAAAAAACTGAATTCTACACCTGAAACTAATATTATTACACTGTATGTTAATTAAGTGTAATTTAAATGAAAGCTTAAAAAAATCCCTCAATTCACCAGGATAGTCCTCGATGTGCCTAATAACTAACCTAGATCAACGGTCAGACACTTAACCTACTGAGCCACACAGCTGCCCCATCCCCATGATTTTTAGAACAGAGTAAATCAAAGTAAGTATATAGAATTTTTGAGCTACACAACTAAACATCTTGATTGAATGGAAATATTTAGAACATGGTACTACCAAGTGGATATTTATTGTTTTCAGCCATACACAACTCTTAAAAACTAATCATGTGCTAAGCCAGTACAGAAATCCTGCAGATATTTGAAAAAGCTCGTACAATAAGGCCGTGTCTCAATCTGCAAAGCAATTAAATTGGAAAGTAATATCAAAAGGGAAACTAGAAATGCAATATACTTAAAATTTTAAGATGAATTCATAAATACAAAATAAGACAAAATTAGAATTTAGATATGAATTAGAAAAAAAATACTGCATATCAAGTTTTCCCATACATTTCAAAATCTCTTACATATCACCAATCAAGTGGCACACATTGTTCTCAGCACTTTTAAAATACTGACTTACTGAATTGCCATAGGAATCACATGAATGATGTATAATTGCTGTTCTTGTAACAGGACTCCAACCAGTTCTAAGGGTTAAGTTGCTTCAAGTTAACATACTCCTTCCTTCCTGACCTAAGGCCCTTGATCTATAACAGAACTAATTTACTTTCTTTGAGATTTACAGACCACTGGCCATGGGGCAATGAAGGATTGGAATGTTCTCAGGCCATAGAGGCCAGAAGTCTGTTTGAAGCCACTTCAGCTTTCTGATTGGCCCAGCAATCTTTTAGCAAATTGTTTTTGTTTTGCAAGATCACACAAATTGTTTTTCATTTGCAAGATCACACAAATGACTTTACTGTCCTCCCTTTGCACATTAGTAGACCTTGCTCCCCTATGCAGAAAGAACAGAGTGGTCTTGCACACACCCTGGGTACCAAGGAACTGCACCTTCTTGCACAGCCCCCACCCTGGGCACCAAGGATCTAGAACTTGCACAACCTCCGAGCTCTGAGATAACTGGCATCATTGAGTCTGCAGATTATCCAGAAATGTCACAGACCACTGCGTATCCCTTAACTGATTAAACCCCTTTAAAAATCTTATGGTCAGACCAAAATCTTGGACAAGAGTCCACCTCTCCCCAGGTTGCCAGCCTCCTGAATAAAGCTCAAATTTCTTTCCAATCAAAACTCCTCTCTTGAGGAGTGATGGTCAGTGAACTTGGGTTAGGTAACATTCTCATTTTAGAGGTAGAAAAAATAAAGAACAGAGAAGTTAAATAACTTGGCCAAACAAAAATTTTAAGTGTTGGAATGTGGATTCAACTTAAGTATTTGGGTCAGAATATATGTTCCTACCCATTATGCTACATTGCCTTTCAATAATATAATCCATTTGAAAAGGATATATGGTAACTCTCTGCCAAGAAGTTTGAAAATTTAGATGGATAAAAGAGACAGAATACATGAATAGCTTCAAATTTATTGAATCTGTAGTTTAAAAATGTTTTTCTCGTTAAGGGAGCCAGGATGAGGTTAAATATTTTTCCAGTGAGTTGTACCAAACATTCCAGGAATACTTAGCATGGTACCAGGCATGAAGCACGAACTCAATAAATGTTAGTGAAAGAATGAATTAATAGATTGCATAACTTACTCAGTAGCTGTTACCGATGTTTACCTGATTGACAGAAGTAGCTTGATTTCTTGTTTGATCGTTCATTCAAACCAGCGTTTATCTCCTTCTATATAATCCAAACAACAAAACAAACATCCTCAAAGGATTTCCTCCTCCAGGATTTGAACATAGACTATTATTTATATATTTAAAATACAGAAATTTAAGATTTTGAGAACTCTTAAATGTCAATTTTTAAGAATTGCATGCATTTTGTGGTATTTACAGAATTTAAAATTTCATAGTTGTATCGTGGGAGATACACAAAACTGCCCACACATCTGGTGATTTGAAAAGGCTCATGGGACTGAGAATATAGTTGTACTCATGTCTAGGATTTACTATAGGAAAAGAATACACTGTAGGATAAAGAAGGGGAAAAGACATAGGCCGAATCTTGAAAAATCTATGCACCGTTCTTCATATGCTCTCTCCCTCCTGTGAGAGGACACACTGGTGTATGCTCTTTTCTCTAGCAATTAAAAAAAATGCAGCAAAATGTACAGTGTTTTTATCGTGGGAAATCCATTAGAAACTCAGCACTCAAAGGTTTTTATTGAAGGCTGGTTATGAGGACCCCTGTACCTTAGTGCATATCAAAATTCCAGCGTCTCAAAAGAAAATCAGATGTTCAGCAAAAATCATGTTATTTGCAGTATAGTGCACCATCCATCCAGCTATGGAAACTTCCCATATTACTTCGGGACTATTGGAAAAGTCATCTTCCCAATGCTAGCCAGAGGGCAACCTTGCAGACAGGCCCTTCTAAAGACACCAGTTTCAAGCCTACTTTGTTAACTCTTTTCTGCACAGTAATATTCACTAGCATCCTAAAATGAACTATCTGTGCAATGCACTAATTGGTAAATATGTCAGTCAACTCCATGGGACAGAAGAATAGTGTGCTTAAAAAATTTTTTTAATTTATTTAAAATTTTTTTTCTAGAATTTGTTTTATTTTGTTTATTTTTAAATAGTTTATTGTCAAGTTGGTTTACATATAACACCCTTTAAAGTATTTTTTTAAATGTATTTTTTGAGAGTGAGAGAGACAGAGTGTGAATGGGAGAGGAGCAGAGAAAGAGGGAGACACTGCATCTGAAGCAGGATCCAGGCTCTGAGCTGTCAGCACAGAGCCTGAAATGGGACTTGAACTCATAAACCACGAGGTCATGACCTGAGCCAAAGTCAAATGCTTAGGCTTGAACTCACAAACCAAGATATTATGAGGCACCCTGTCATGCTTTTTTGATAATGCTACAATGGGAGAAAAGTTTTAGAGCTAGAAAGCAGATAACAGGTTCTCTGATTACAGAGGGATGTGGTTCTCTTGATTTGTTCAAGAACTCAATCTGCTCAAGGAGGTAAATCCAGTGAAACAGGCTTCTATTTTTGCCCACCAGATAGGAGAACTGAACATCGGCCACCAAAAAAAATATTTTATGACAGTGATAGACCACATATAACCCGTTGGATACAGCATGTAATACTTAGCATAATAAAATGGCCATGCTTTTCTCATAGTAAATTAGGAATCTGTGGACATTTGGTACTCATTTGAGATCAATATCGATGACAAATTTAATAATATACACATTAACCAAAAAAGGTCAGTAAGAAAATTTAGGTTGTTTTTATAGGAGTTTTTGTTTGTTTGCTTTTTAGTAAAGGACACGGCCTTTGGAATCTGTTAGGTAATATGAGAATTTTAAATGCCAAAGTTGTTAAGAAATTTCTTTTTATACTTTAGCATACTTAAGGTGGATATTGACATAGTAGAACGCTGAACTGTAAAATGTTTATAATAAAACTGCACTACAGAAAAGCATTTTATGGTAAATATACATCTTAGACGTTATGTGTGGTATAGTCTGTTGATTATTATGCATTCGAAGAAACAGAAAGTGATGCCACTTCCTACCCTATTCAAGTAGAATTCATTTGGAGAGAACTTAGTTAATTTCCATTTTCAAGCCATGTTAATTCTTTAGCACCAGGTGAACCAGTTAACACTGTGCTACTAATGGAATGTGGTTTTGACTCCTAAAACAAGTTGGTAACTCACGGAGGGGAAAAAAAATGTAATGTATATCAGAAGATATACCCTGAATTTATGCTGCTAACTTTTCAATACCAGGTAACTGATCACTGGTCAAAAACAAAGGAGAGAGATAATATGACTACATCTGAACACTCCATCAGTATTAGTAGAAGCCCAACCAAAGAAGGCCAAATTAATACTTCCTCTGAAGGCTGCAGGTATGTACTGAAAACTACAATGTTGTAGCCTATATTTAGGAAGATTATCCTAGGGCTATTAAAATTTTATTATGGTATGACTAATTTCAGGGAATGAAGCTGTTTGGTATGGTCACTTCATGAATGAAAATTTTTATACCCATGCTGATCATAAGATTGTACCTCTCTCATTAATTCTGCTTGCATTTGGAGCAAAGAAATATTATATACCTCATCTTTTGGAGGATCCAAGTAAGAGTGTGAAGATCTCGGACAGTATCTTGTGGGTGAAGTTTGAGCTGAAGTAATTGAATTTTGAGCTGAGATATTTACAGCTCCTAGAGAAAGAACAGATTAATTTTACCTATGAGGAACTCATATTTCTGGAACGAGGGAGATGCTGATGAATAGATTTGATCCAAAGTCCCCACTGCTGAGCTGCCACAATCACTGAATTACCACAATCAGGGATTTATTTGAGGTAAAGCGGTATCTCCAAGAATTACATGACCTTTTTTTAGTGTTCATTGGCTACAAATTTCCAGTGGTTCACCATTGCCTTTAGAGATAATCCTGAAATCCTTAACCTCTGATGCTAATTTATTAGTTCAGAAGTTATTAGAACCTAACTTCTATTAGGCCAGCTTAGTCCGTATAATTAAACACAGACCACTGCCAGAATTAACTGTTCAGTCTGCAATGGAAAACCACTCACTACTTGGATAAGGAAATAACCCAAACTGTGTTTTAGGAAAATTACTTTCACAGCAAAATTTATGGGGATTAAAAAGAGGAGGACAACAATGGGGGAAGGTAACTGAAATAGCCAAGGATAAAAGAAACAAGGTAGAGGCTGTGGGAATGAAAAGAGAGGAAAGGGCAAAGGAAATTAAGGAGACAGAGTAGAAAGAAAGTAGCAACTTTGGGATACAAAATACAATAAAGAGCCAAAGAGTAATTAACATTTTGATGATGAGTTTGATATTCTATGGAATTCGAGGTGATCATTGGCCACTGGATGGAGGTGCCTAATATTTTCTTTATGTATATGTAGGATATGCATGTGAATAACTTTAGTGCCTTCCAGAGATCTAACAAGGTATGGGAAAATTTAGCTATTGTATAGTCCACTGAAGGGAAATTGGGAAATAGGATATATTGTCTATGGAGAATTGATGGCACTGGAGTGTGGGGAACTTCCAGAGACAGTTCTCTGTACTGTAATTTACTGAGTCATATACGTCAGTAATATAATCATTCACTATAAACAGCCACAGCAGTGACCCTGTGTCACTTTGCAAATTTTTCCGTACTTTGCAAAATTCAAAAGCCATACTCATCAAGCAAGCTCTGAAATGTGAGCTAATTATGTCTATATTCATAAACAATTTTGTACCATGCTTTATTATCCAAAATAACCATGATTGTTATAATCAGCAAAAAAATTGAAAAATTATATGATAAAAAGAAAAAATATATTGTCATGATTATGAAATTAACAGTATAACAAGTATGACTGGTTTTCATTTTCTCACCTTTATCATCAAAAGTATTTGATTTTCTAGTTACTCCATCTTTCTACATGGTACATTAAAGAGAAAAACATTAATTAGTAACTGTACTTCTAAAAGAAATTTTGTCACTGTCAATCAACCAAATTAATACAGTTTTTCCCCTCTTTTATCCCCTAAATCTCACATGAAAATTGTCTCAGGAAAATATATATAAACAACCTCCTAGAATACCTTCTACAGGGATCTCAAATTTAAAGTTGAGTTCAATATGTAGCAATGTACAAAGTTGTTCCTTTTCTAGTATTCCATATTTTGTTTAAAGGCATAGTAATCCATCCAATGGTTGGTTCTACAGTTTAGAGTCATTCAGTCTGTTTCAGGGAAATACAATCTAACCTATTCCAATCCAGCATACAGTTTAATTAAACAGTTGTCTTTGATTTTGACATTGTTTTATTGTGATAACATTTTGTATCTGTCTGCCCTATCAGGCAGTAAGTCCTCAAGAGAATTGATTATGTTTTACTCATCTTTGTATCTTGTGTGTCCCAATTTCCTCATTTTCCCTTCCTTCTGGTTTAGCACAGAGCTGGGCCAAAAGTGAATGAGTTTTAGCTATTATTATCATTATAATTGATAAATCTTTGGATTAGATTCTGTTAAATTACATAGTGACTCAATACACCCAAGAAAGGAAAGGAAATCTGGCCTCATGAATAGACCCTAATATCCTTAAACAAGTGGTATCATGCCAGTGAAAGAGATCAGTCAAAAAAGTGAAAAGTTAACTAGATAAGTAATCACCATACAAAAGTTTGAGGCATAATTTTATACCTTTTGTTCAGTACCATTAACCTGTACAACTGAAGTTGATTTTTTGACAATATTTTTTGTGGTACTTAGAGATTGATAAATAGCATTTGCTGCAGTTCCTAAAAGTAAATGAGAGAGAAAACCATAGTTATTTTATTTTAACAATCTATTGAAGTGTAATCGAAGTATAATAAACTATACTCATTTAAAATGAAAATATTTCAACCTTAAAATATGTCTACAACTATGAAGCTGCAATCAAAATAACTTTTCTAATACTCTTAAAAGTTTTTTTCACCCACTTTTGTAATCCATCTTTCTTTCTCCTCCCATCCTGACACCACCACTCTATATTTCTCACATAAGCTTGGCTTGAATTTTCTAGAATTGTGTATTCATGGAATCTTATAGTTTGTACTCTTTTTTTTTTTTTCCTGGTTTCTTTTACTCAGTATAATGTTTTCACATATTTTAGTAATTTGTTCCTTTTTACTTCTGAGAAGTGCTTCATTATATGGATACACCATAAATTTTTATCCGTTTACCTGCTATTTGGGTTGTTTCCATTTTGGCCTCTCACAAATGAACTTTTATGAGAATTCATGTACAAGTCATTGTGTTTTCATTTCTATGGGGTAAATACCTATTAGTGGGTATATGTTTAACTTTTACAAAACAACACACTGTTTTCCAAAGTGGTCACGCCATTTTACAGACCATTCAGCAGTGCATCAGAGTTTCAATTCTTCCAGTTCCTTATCAATATTTAGTAAGCAGAAGTAAAGAAATAGTAAAGGTGAATATCAAAGAAATTGAAAAAAGAAAGAAAATAATGAAACTAACAGCTAATTCTTTGAAAAATTCAATAAAAGTGATAAGCCAGATTACCAAGAAAAAGACACAAATTTGTAGAATCAGGAAAATTAGAGATAACAGCACAACAAAAGTCTATATAGATAATACTAAAAATAATAATAAAGGAAAGGAATATTATGAAAACTGTATGGCAGTAGGTTTAAAAATTATATACAAAGGATAAATTTCTTGAAAAACACAAACTAATATCATTCATGAATAGATGATATGAAGAACTAGAACTACATATCTATTAAAGAAATTGGATATGTAGTTAAAAACACGTCCACAAAGAAAACTCCAAGCTCAACTGACTTCATTTCTGAATCATACCAAATATCTAAAGAAGAAATTACACTAATTATATACAAACTCTTCCAGAAAATTAAAGAAGAATCCTTCTACTCTCATAACTCATATTTTGAGACCAAAATCACTCTGACACCAGTCACTAAAAGACATTACAAGAAAAGAAAACCTTAGTCACCATCCCCCATGAACAAAGTTGCAAAAATTATAAATGAAATATTTTGAATTTAACAATAATGATAAAGATAATGCATAATGAATGAATAAGGTTAATCTCAAGAATGTGGGACTGGTTTAAAATTTATTATATTATATTTATTATACTATATATAACTATATACATATATATAAAATAACATGATTTCTAGTATTTTTAAAAAATCTTTGAAATCCATAGGAAAAAGAAAACCCAGTAAGAAAATGGACAAGAGGTTTGAAAATATGATTTCTCAGAAAAGGAAACATGACTCAGAAATCCCATATCTAGGCATATAACCCCTAGAGAATCTCTTTTCAATGACTACCAGAAGATTGTGTGTGTGTGTGTGTGTGTGTGTGTGAATATATATATATGAATGTTTGGTGCAGTATTGGTCAAATAACAGATACTTCCATCAACAGACATATATGTATAAATTGTGGTATGTTCACACAATGGGATATATCAGTAGTGAAATGAAATAAAGTGTCAGACAACACAGAGATAAAACTTGTGAAACATAATGCTTAGTGTAAAAAGCAAGTCACATAAGACTGGATACAACAGCTTATCAGTTACATTAAAATACTTTTTTTTTTTTAAATGTTTTATTTATTTCTAGGAGAGAGAGAGAGACAGCATGAGCAGGGGAGGGTCAGAGAGAGAGAGACACAGACTCTGAAACAGGCTCCAGGCTCTGAGCTGGCAGTCAGCACAGAGCCCGACACGGGGCTCGAACCCACGAACCGCGAGATCATGACCTAAGCAAAAGTCGGACGCTTAACCGACTAAGCCACCCAGGCGCCCCTACATTAAAATACTTTTAATAGTATCTATCTATGTCTATGTCTATATGTATATATGTAGTTTGAGGATATACACCCATGTAGTAAATATATTTAAAAAGTAATGATTATAATAATCACTAGATTTGGATAGTAGTTCTGTGAGACAAGGAAGTCTGCTTAACAAAATTTGGCAAAAGTATAAACTCAAGTTTAAGGATATTCAGTGAACATTAAAGCAGGTAAAAAAAAAAAAGAAAGAAATTCACACCAACACATATCATAATTAAATTGCTAGAAACTATTTCCCACTCCCAAAAATTTTAACAACCAGAGAAAAATGTCACCTTACTTACAGAGGATCACTATTCAAATATAGCCAATATCTCATCAGAACTATGGAAACACAATGAAATGGAACAGTTTTCAAGTCTGGAAAAAAATGTCAACTTACAATTCTATATCAAATGAAAACACTATCATTCAGGATGAAGGTAAAATAAAGACATTTTTAGAGGAAGGAAAACTAAGATGATTCAGTGCCAGAAAATCTGTTTTAAGAGAAATACTAAGAGAAGTACTATAGACTGAAAAATAAAGATACTGGAAAAGAAACCTCTGATATCAGAAATTAAAGGGCATTCAAAATGGTAGCTAGGTAAATATAATAGGTTAGTCTTCTTCCATTTAGCTATTTAAATTAAAACATATTACTTTGAATGGATGCTTGATGTATGTAGATGTAATACATAGGGCAACTATAGCAAAGGGATGTGGGATAAGGCGTCCTATATAGTGGAAATATTTACATTCCACTTAAAGGGTTAAGTGGAATTGTGAAAAGATAGTGTTATCTAGAACAACCACTTAAAAATCTGTAAAAAGAGGTATAGTAAAAAGTATAGTCATGGACACTTGGAAAACAAATTTTAAGAATGTCTTGTATAATAGTATCAAAAAATGAAGTACTTATGTATAAATATAACACAACATATGTAAGAACTCTATGCTGAAAACTATAAAAACACTTATGACAGAAATCAAGCACAACCTAAACTAACAGAAAGAGATACTATGTTTATGGGTTGGAAGGCCAAGACTTGTAGAAGATTTCTTTTCTTCTTAAAATGATCTATAGATTGATTTAATGTACTTCATTAAAAAATGTCACCCTAATTTTTTTAGACAAACTAATCATAAAATTTATATGCAAAAGGCAAACAAATTAACGTAGTGCTAAAATTTTTTGAGGAAAAATTTTGGATGATAGTATTATACTACCTGATTTCAAGACAGTCAAAAGCTACACTAACATATTACAGTATTAGCAAAGAGACAGACACATAAATTGATCGATGGAACAAAAAATTAAAAGGCAAGTCACAGACTGAGAGGATATTTGCAAATCACATATCTGAAAAAGATTTGTATTCAGAGTATATAAATAACTCTTGAAACTTAACAGTAAGAAAACTACCCAAAAAAAAATGAGCAAAAAGCTTCAACAGATACTTTACTAAGCAGGATTTACAAGTGGCAGACAGCATATGAAAATATATTTATCATCATTAGCCATCAGGGAAATGCAAATGAAAATCACAATGAGATAACACTAGATCTATTAGAATGACTAAAATAAAAAAATTGCTGATAATACAATGGTTGCAAGAACACATAGCGAATGGATCTCTGGTGCATTACTGATGGGAATGCAAAATATTTCAGGCACTCTGGAAAGCAGTTGGAACAGTACTTTGTATACTTAAACATACATTTGCCATGACTCAACAATCCCTTGTTTACATAAAAAGCTGACTAAAAATACTTCTGAGTTTTCTGTTCATAATCATCAAAACCTGGAAACAACCCAAAGCTCCTTCAACTGATGAACATATACGTTTTGTAGAGGTGGGGTTGGTGTTGTCATAACTGCATGCATTGTAATAACTATTGGTGTCTTTAAAAAAAAGTCCTTGAACTTTAAAAGTAGGACCCAAGAAGCTTAAGAGGCAAAGCTGCCTCAGTGGTCCTGAGACTGGAAGACAGCCTCTGCTAAGGCAGCTCTGTCGCTCCCCAGGTTTCTGAGTCTTGAGGAGACTAATCAAATTACATACTCAGGGAGGAAAGATGGTGGAATTTTTTTCTTTAGATTTGAACCAATATTGCCAAAGTAATTTAACTTTTTTGCTTTAATTTTTCCCTGGAAATTTGGTAGTGGGAGGAGATTCATATTGTTCAATTTTTAACAGTCTCACACTTTTGACAGTGTATTATTTGGGGGAGTTTTCTGCTGCCATTTGTGCTCCTGGTCTAATCCAGTGAGCCCTCATAGACAACATGAAGTAACAGTATGGGATACATAATAAAGTAAAATTCAGTAGGGTTTGGAGTAGCTTTGGAGTTAATTTCTGACCAACCTCACAGTTTCCTAAATTCATTTTGAATACCATAAAAATCGGGTTTGCATTTTTTTAGGTTTCATAGACTGTTTAACAGCAATTGACTTTTCATTTTGTTTTTCTAAAATTATGACATAATGTTAAATTTAGAGCACTAAATCAGTAACTACAGATCAAATTCTGAAAGCAGTATCATTATTGGTAAGCATCACTCTAAATCAGTCATTTGACAACAGAAAACAGAAGATTTAGGCATTTAAAGCGTTTAAGCAAAAGACGCTATCCAAACTCGGCCTTTCCTCAAATTACTACAGTATTTATCATCAAAATATTCATTTACCATATACTCCTTTATTTGGTCTCTGTTCACCAACTTGGTAAACTAAGTTTATATTATCAAAAGTCTTCATTTTCTTCTTTGGAGAATAAGCTTTAAAAAAAGTAATAAAACATTTATTTTTAGTAATAGTAATGACAGAATTACCCAAGATAGACTATTTTGTCAAGCCCAAGGGAAGTGAGCCTTATGCTAATTTATATGTGGGATTATTGGGAGGTATTGGAGAAGATGGAGAGATGTGACATGGGAAGATAATGACTCTTGCAATTATCACTCTAAGTTAAAAGATATACTTGGAGGGACAGAATTTTTTTCTGGTAGAGAGAAAAGCTACATCCAGACAAGCTGTAACATATATTTTCGATCTGTGGGGATGCATATCAATGTAGCTCCTGGCTAGAGACCCACTAGCCCACAGTGACTATTGCAGTTCCTGGATGTGCCTCCCAGCCTGACATAGGCTACTGTATACATATTACTCCTTTGTGATAGAGGTAATTATGATTCTTATTTTTAACCATTTAAGGAGGACAAAGTCTCCTCATGTCATGTGTACTCAATGGGTTTTCATTAGAAACATAAATATGAGAGTAATCTGTCTTCCCACTGGAGCAAATTTCACCTAACAATCCCTTTCTCTCTCATTGTCTCTCTGTCCCTCTGGAAGCTGTCTACTTGGTGGAAGATGACAATATTACTTGGAAGTGTAAAACAGATATTCATGTCACCTTGATAATATAAATTAGATTCATTTACATCTTCTTATTTTATCTTTATTTCTTGAGAGAAAGAGATGAGAGACAGAGAGAGAGAGAGAGAGAGAATGCATGCACATGAGGATGAGGAGGGGCAGAGGGAAAGGGAGAGAGAGAATCTTAAGCAGGCACCCTAGCTCGGCACGAAGTCCAATCCAGGGCTTGATCTCATGATAGTCAGATCATGACCTGAGCCCAAATCAAGAGCTGGATGCTTAACCAACTGAGCCACTCAGGCATCCCCATTTACATCTTCTTCAAGAAGGGATTTGAGGTAACAAAGTTTAAAATGTCTATTTGAAATTCTTTTCCCATTGAGAAGGTTAACAGTTGAATTTGTAGGAATGTATATCATTACTAAACTGATTTCTTTTCTGAAATGTTAGATTGTTTTTGTTATTTCAATGAGCTGAAGAGATTGAATTAGTCCATTTAGCAAATATATATTTTAGACACAAATACACACATGCATACCTGCATACATAATACAGTACTATCTGCTCTGTGAACACAAAAGTGGGAATTATGATATTATGGGTGATTAAGACTGTGGGAAGTATGTAATAAGTGTATTGAGAATGATACAAAGTACTAAGCGGGATTCAGAGGAGATGGATCTTCCAATTAGGGTTATTAAGAAAGACTTTGTGGAATGTCACTTACAGTGGGGCTTAAAGAGTTGTGGAATTGGGATAGATGGACACTGAGCACATCACTCCAGGCTAAGAAAGTTGGACAAAGAGATGCAAAGAAGTAAGAAAAGGACCTTGTGTGTTAGGAATGGTCAGTGGTCTCATTTGATTGGACAATGAAATAAATTGAGTGCTTACTATAGACTAGAGCTTTTGAGATCTTTTTGAGAATTTAGAGAATTTATTTTTGTTTTCAGATCGTGAACTGTGGCCCAAAGAAGTGAAGTAATTTTTCCAAGCTATTTTCATGGATAGATTATGGTAAAGCAGTTTGGTACAGATTATGGACTTTAGCAGTTAGGCTCCAGAGCCTATGTACATCACCCCTAGATCATAGCTGCCTTCTTCAAGGAGGCAGTATGAAACAAAGTTTAAAAGTTAGCTTTGGGTTGGCTCTAGAATGGTTGCCTCAAAAGTCTGAGCTTCAGTTAAGAGGCAATGGGGATCTTTATGTTTTGGGACCAGAAGAAAGCCTCAGAACAGATTTAAAGTGTAATTAGTAGCAATTTGAAAAATAGATTTGAAGTAGGTTTGAAGAAAGAGCCAGGGAAAACGAGTTAGTAATCTACTGGAGCGACACAAGGAGGCTCTCGTCTAGAAAGAGAATTGATGGGACAGAGATAGGATTGATGGGATGGAAGATGATTTTGTTCTTTCCTGATACTGCGTAGTCATTATATTTAAAGCAAATCTACATTTTTTGCATTCTGGCTATGAATTATAGTTAATATCATTGATTTAATTTAACAAACTTAATATATTTTATGAAATAAAAGAAAGTTGGTAGAGATTGAGCATAGCAAAGTGATAACTGAATATCCCTCCTTTAAACTCTTCGTTTCCTTCTTTTTTCTTTCCTTCCTTACTCTCCCTTCTCCACTCCGTCCCTTCCTTATTCCCTGACCTCCTGTCCCATCCGACCCTTTTTTTTTTCTGGTACTGTCTATTCATTACGGATGGCAACACAGTAGAATAGCATGTTGGTATATGATAGCAATTATCTTACATACAAGGTTTTACAGTTTTAGTAGCAAAAAATACATTATTTTTAGTATAGGGAAGTGGGTTAGAACTGCAGTATAGGCATACTTGTCTACTGAACCACTTGATAAGATTATTTCACTTTGACTCAATTTTTACATATATGTCTATTTTTCCACTTCCAGTGTAATAGAGAAATGCCTAGAGCTGTGCCCAGCACAAAGCAGATAACAATTGTAAACAAACAGAATTTTACAAAAGGAGCTTTACATAAATACATAGATAAGCATTTTTTACATAAGTTTTTTAATGTTCTCACATTCTTTATATGTTCCTTCTTGTTCTCTGTAATGAAACGTATTGTTGTTTCCCATCTCTTCTCTTTTAAAGCCATTTTCTTGCATTTTTTGTAAATGATAAGCCATTTTTTTTTCTAGAAGGGCTTGTTTCTAAAATATTAAGATATATAAAGTTAACATCAGCTTTCTGTTTAAAAATGCAACAAATAATTAAAATGTGAGAGTATATATTGGAAATCAACAGTCACTCCTCTCTTATGCCTTATAAAGTTACATGGTACAAATTTGGGAGGTCAGAAAGGGATAAATTTCTATCTGTGATTAAACATGAAGAATGCATTTAACACTTAAATACAATTAACCTTACTATGTACCTTCAGGGAACTGGTCTAGTTACAGGTTAGGAGGGGGGTCTTTTAATCCATAGGTATTCTGAAGAGTTTAGCTAATTACTAAATCATCTTCAGTTGGAAGATTCCTGAGTGACTTAATCAAATCACCCAGGCCTAACAGAGATAGACATAATATATGAAATGTGACTTTCTTTTATAATCTCTGGGCTAATATTGACCCTTGAGTACCTGAAAGGAAATAACTACAGAGAGAAAGAACCCTAGAGATCCTCTAAGGGTTCCCTAGAATATTCAGCAGGAGAATGGATCAGTACGGGTATGCGAGGAAACTAACCAAGGCCATCCTACAGGATTAGAGAGAACAGTGCTTGGAACCTATCATGCCTATTTTCACCATCCACTCCCGAAAAACTTCATAAGTCACAAGGCATTGGGCAGAGTACTAAAATGGGTCTTGCTTCAGTAGTGAGGAGTAACTAGTATCAGATAAACATGGCTCTGGCCCATTCTAACAAATCTTAAAAAGCTGTTTCCAAAGAAATTATCTACATTCAGGAAAAAAGCTAAAGGATATTTAGAAGGATATGAAAATATTCAGCACCCAAAAAGTAAATTTCATGATATCTGGCATCTAATCAAAGAGCACCAAGTGTATAAAGAAGCAGGGAAATATGATCCATAAAATGAGTCAATCAATCAATTAAAGTTGACCCATAAATGATACAAATGCTAGAATTAAAGATAAGAATATTAAAGCATAACTGTATTCCATATATTTACAAGGTAAGGAAAAGACATGGAAGATATAAAAAAGACCAAAATCAATTTTTTAAATGTATGAGATATGTAATATGAAATACGCTTTAATAGCAGAATAGACATTGCAGAAGAAGAGATTAATTAAAGTACATTCAGGAAAAGAAACCATCCAAAAGGAAAGAGTGAGAGACAAAAGTTACAAAATGAAAAGAGTATAAGTGAGATGTGGAACAACATCAAGCAGCTTAATTAATATAAGCCTGTGGAAAGGAGAGAAGGGATAAAAAAAATTTGATAGTAATGTCTGTTATCAGTTTTTCTATTCTAGGTTATAACAGAGGTTATAAATCAGTGCAATTAGGCAAGAAAATGAAAAAGGCATCTTTATCCAAAGAAAGGAAATAAAACAACCTTTATTCATTGACAACATAATCATTTATTTAGAATGTCAACTGGCATTTAGAAATAAATTACTAGAGTAAGTGATTTTGTCAATGCAGACTACAAGATGAATATAAAAAATTTGCTTTTCTATGTACTAACATCAAATAATCAGAATTTAAAATTAAAAATCCAATTATAATAGCATAAAAATTATGAAATACCTAGGGATGAACCTATCAAAAGATGTGTAAGACCTGTAAACTGCAAAAATTAAGGAAACCTAAATAAATGGAGATAAATATTTGGTTCACAAGTTGGAAGACTCAATATTATAAAGAGATCAATTGTGCCCAATCTGATCAATTGAATCAACATAATTCTAATCAAAATCTCAGTAAGATTTCTTGGGAGAAATTGAAAAGCTGATTCCAAAATTTATATATAAATGTAAAAGGCTTAGTTTAGCCAAAACAACTTAAAAATAGAAGAACTTAGAAGGTTAGCACTACTAATTTAAAGAACTATAAAAGGTACAGTAATCAAGGCAGTATAATGGACAAATAGACCAAAGAGTAGAAAAGAGTGCAAAAATACACATCCACTATACAACTGATTTTTTACAAAGATACAAAGGCAAAATCTTTTAAAGATTTTCATAACTGTAATTTAAGCACATACTTTGGAGTAAAAATATATATAAATATACAAATTATATGAAGATATATAGTGTCAATCTTAAAAAATATTAAGTAGGATACACCAGTGAATTGAAAACTTCTCTTAAAACACAATTCAAGAGAAACAATTTAGAATAACTCCATTGGAAATATCAATAAGTCAGATAGCCCTCTGCCATGAACATGGCTCAAGCATCCTGCAGCATCACCATGTCTATCATCAGGGGCCGTGTCTAACCGGCACTTCCAGTGCCAGCGCTTGTCGCATTGCACTGGTTGTCATGAAAACTGGCCAGGACTCCGTGGATAGTAATGGGCATGAGGCAAAAAGGGGAGACATGGGGCATTCTGTTGCTCTCCAAACCAGATACTTTCAGAAATGTCTGGAAGCAAACAAAAAGGTCACTTTGGAGAGAACTCCCATTGAAAGAAAGTGAGTATTAGAAAATAATAATTACAATAAGGTGGAATAAGCTGCACTCACCATATGAGCCCTGACAATACTAAGGTATATGTAACAAAAGTAGAATAAAATATCATCATACATGTTTAAATTTATATTATTAAAAAATACTACATAGCAGTATGTATCAATATAACCAAATTATGTATATCTTACACTATAGGTTTGTCGACAGTAAGCTACTGAGGGGTGCCTGGGTGGCTCAATCAATTAAGTGTCCAACTCTTGATTTTTGCTCAAGTCATGATCCCTGGGTTGTGGAGTCAAGCCCCATGTTGGGCTGTGCACTGAGTACGGAGCCTGCTTAAGCTTCTCTCTCTCTCTCTCTCTCTCTCTCTTTTTCTCTGTCTTTCTCCCCCTCCTCTATCTTTCCCCTGCTATCTCTGTTAAAAACAAATAAATAAAAAATAAAAACCAATAAGCTATTGGGGCACCTGGGTGGCTCAGTCAGTTGAGCGTCTGACTTCGGCTCAGGTCATGATCTCGCGGTTCGTGGGTTCGAGCCCCGCATCGGGTTCTGTGCTGGCAACTCAGAGCCTGGAGCCTGTTTCAGATTCTGTGTCTCCCTCTCTCTCTGCCCCTCCCCCACTCATGCTCGTTTCTCTCTGTCTCAAAAATAAATAAAAGCTATAAAAATTTTTAAAAAATGAAAAATCAATAAGCTATTGAAATTACTTGTAATTTTAGACAAACATTAATTGACATGGAGAGTTGTCAGTGTTATTTTATTAAATGAAAAAGCAATTTACGAAACACTCTATAAGGTGTAATAACATGAATTTATTTATTGTAATAAATTTTCATAGAAGTATCACACAATGTGTGCATCTACCACAATAGGTGGTGCTGGGATTACAAATAATTTCTCTTTCTCTTTACACTGGCTAGCACTCTAAATCATAAAGTATTATGTATCATTTAAAATAAAAAATAGTTGGTCTAAAAAATCAGCTGTTAGGGAAATACTGAGAACTTTTTCCAAGAAATTCTGAGTTAAGAAAAATCAGTTTGTCATTTTCTTTCTAGAGGAATTACAAGTATAGTTTATGTCCTGAGATAAAGTCAAAAGCAGTTGTATTAAATAATTAGACAGTACTTTTTGAATTATAGACAGAATATAATATAGCCAAAATATAGTGAACTTCATAACTTTCAGTTTTGTATAATGCGTATCATTTGGGGTAACTGGTCCATTGTTATCTCACAAAGTGTACACTCAGATATCAAAACTAGCGAAAACTTCTGCTCAAACAGTCCCAATTAGAGGTTTTAAAGCTCACCCTACCTTCCTGTCACTCTCTTCTCTGCTTCGACGCCGTTGTTCCTCTATCCTAGCTTCTCTTTTAACATCTTCGCCAATCTTCATCAGAAGTAGCATCTCTTTTGTCTTCCATTCCTAGGGAGCATGAAGATACTATACTCAGTACGTGCTCACAATAAACCTTTGTGTCCTGTCCACCACCAACAAGCAAATTAGAACATGTCAGGGGCCCAAGAGAAATCAGGACAAGCATAATGAAAGTCATATTGGGTTTAGGATGGACTTTCCTTACTGCACTCCTATTAGGGATGCAGGATGGTTATTTTTTACTCAAGCTAAATTTAAAAATTTTTACACCCCACAATAAAGACTTAAGGGGAGTTAAACAGTGTTCTAGCAACTTTCACAACCATCTCTTTAAGACTTATATACATAGTTTGTGCTGTCAGCCTCATTATTTTATGTAACAACTTCTATTTTATAGCTGTGAAGAAAGATTAATGGGGATATATGATTCAGACCTGAAATAACTTCAGGAAGTATGATGCACAGCTAAATTAGTTACAATTGAAACAATTGTAGACAATCTTTCAATATTTTAAATTTGTTATCTTACCTCTTCAATTTTTCTACGAAGATTAAGTTTTCTTCTTGTGTATTCTCGCTGTCGTCTTTCTTCTCTATCCATCCGGAGCAGGTGCTGCTCTTCTGCTGTACGCTCAAGTTGTTCTAATTCCCTACTTATCATATCCAAATATCTAAGTAAAAGTGCAAATATAAGTCAAAGTGTTTTGGCTGTTTCCCTTATGATGGCATCATCTGCTTTGATATTCCCAAACCACCTTTGGGCTTGTTTTTTTATTTCTTAAACTGCAAGAATTTTACCGATTTTCTATCAGCTCTGTTCATAGACCTTTAAGGCATCATGATCTCATGGTTCGTGAGATTCAGCCCCCCTGGGCTCTGTGATGACAGCATGGAGTCTTCTTGGGATTCTCTGTCTCTCTGTCTCTGTTTCTGTCTCTGTCTCTCTCTTTCTCTCTCTCTCCCTCTCTCTGCCCCTACCCCACTCACACTGTATCTCTCAAAATAAGTAAAAAAAAAAAAAAAATTAAAAAAAAGGAAGCATGTGCTAACAATGCTTTCCCTCATCTCCTACAATAGGAAAATTTTTGGATCTGATTTGTTCTTCAGTTATCAGCTTGGATTACCTTTTGGATTCTTAGAAACCCTGTCGTCTCTGGTAGAAATTTCTCTGCACAGCTTTGCCACCATAATTTCCCAATTCCTGTACCTCCTTTTCTCTCCACAGTAGGAATAGTAGTGGAGTTAAATAGCGTCTCATTTTCTTAAAAAATTCCTACCTTCAATTAATTCTAGTATCTTCTTATGTATCTGGGTCTATAATATATACATAAATATATGCATTAACTTCAATCTTACCTGTTCCTTAATAATCGTTCTTGGTCCTTAATAGATTGGGTGTCATTCTGTAATAACCAATTTTGGAACCGTGCAACATCAGAGCGTCCAGGTGTTTGATTATCTTCCTGTAGTTTATTTACTTGCTTTGCAAGCATTTCCTATTTAAAAAAAGTATATCATATATACACATACATAGACATATATGTATGTAAATGTGGATATATATACACACATATATATCAAATCTTTTTGCATTCTCCAGATATAAAACTGTCCTATGATATTCTTTTTTATTTAGTGTTTAGTATTTTGTGAATAGATACTTCTGCTTAATTCTATTATAGACATGGACAACTGAGCAAAAATAAAGACGTCTTTCTCTGAAAATAAATGATGAATATTTCATCTTATTTTTCTACCCATTCTGAAAAAGTGAAAATAAGGAAGAAGGGGAGGAGAAGCAGTAGGCACAGGGGAGAAATTGGGGAAAACACAGAACATCTAATAGTTTAGGGAAGTCATTATTATTTTTCTACAACTCTTAACCTTTGAATATAAATTTGTAAATGTACAAATACACATACATTTCTCATTTTTATCCAGCCCACTTAAGCCTAAACCCTGATTTCACCAATGCACATGTGCATGTGGGCACACAGTCTCACACAAACTTTGAGTCAAATATTGAAAGGAAGTCACAATCTATACCCACTCATTCTATGCCAATACACTCCACTTCACCTTTAAGAACATTTTTTTATGGGGTACAATACACAATGTGCATGTTCCTTCAGTCACCTGTGGGACATTATAACTATCATATTCTTCCTCTCCTATTATTCCTGCTGTTTGGGGGCTCCAGCTTAAGAATCTTGCTGTCACACGGGGCACCTGGGTGGCTTAGTCAGTTAAGCGTCCAACTTTTGCTTAGGTCATGATCTCACGGTTCGTGGATTTGAGCCCCGCGTCGGGCTCTGTGCTGACCGCCAGCTCAGAGCCTGGAGCCTGTTTCAGAGTCTGTGACTCCCTCTCTCTCTGACCCTCCCCTGCTCACGCTGTCTCTCTCTCTCTCTCTCTCTATCTCCTAGAAATAAATAAAACATTAAAAAAAAATTTAAAAAAAAATAAGAATCTTGCTGTCACAATAGATTCTTCCTATAGGTCCTAGGTCAGGTAGAAATGACATATCCGAATGGTAATTTAATTCCTAAATTAAGTGAGCTACCACAGGCATATTAATAGATAGATGTCTTGGTCCCTTTTCTTTTCTTAGCTCAATATAGCAACTTCAAAATATTATATTCACCTTCTAAATTTTCATTTGAAAAAAGTAGTTTGTCAAAACTATTATAAGAAAATATTTTGCATACAAAGAAAGCTTTCTTCCAAACGAAGCCAAATTAAGTATTTAACTTACTTGATCTCTCATATAGTTTCTTTCAAAGTCTAATTTCAAAGTGGTAAGATATTGCCTGTACTTATTCAATTCCCTCAAGGTACATACAATCTAGAAAACAAAACAATAATAACAAAAATATATAAATACAAGTATTTAAAAATCATAACAATTACTTTCCAGAAGAAAAACAGTAATGACATACCATTTGATAATATTTTGGTATTAAGAGTAATAAAATGCTAACAATTTTGCAAGCAGTATCTCTCTACAATATTTAATCAAGAAGAAATATCTTTCCAAAACTATTACTTTATTAGTATGCATTATGCCATGGTAGACAATTTAGTACACACAACTTGAGATTTTAAAAGACCAATGTAATAATAATATTCAACCCCAATAAGAATATAGCCCATCACTATTCTTTCAGGCTGATTTTGCTAGATTTCTATTTTGTCTCAAGCTTTTAAAAAGTTTACAGGACATAATCCTTGGCAAACATAGAGTGATATTAGAGACAGAGAAAGAGGACTATGATACAGTTGGGAAAATTACTTTACCTCCTCAAATTATTTGGTAATCATAATTTGATATTTTAAAAAAAGGTGAGGGAGGAAAGAAGTAGTTTCATTTAGAAAAAACAATTCGTTTTCCTTCCCCCAAATACTGAGTAATTTATGAAATTTTTCCTTAAGTATTTCTCATGACCAAGTTAAAGGTGATACAGACCCTGTAGTAAGGTATAGAAGCAAGCTTTATCAAGTCTTAGAGGTTTGCAATGATTAAAAAGAATTAACCTTTAACCCACTTTATTATTGCTGGTGATATAGCCACCCTTCTTTAATCTTCTCAGGATATCTTTGCGCTTATAGTATGCTCTTAAGTGTGGATCATGGAGACTTTTATATTGGTTTTCCAAAAGTCGACAGTAAGGATCAGTCAGGTTAAAACCGTAAGAAGGTCGAAAAAGCTGCAAACACAGATTTTAAAATATTGTAAAGGTAAAACTAATGAATTTCACTTTTAAATGTCAACCTATTGAAATTACTGGAATGTTCATTGAAAATAAAGCATGCAAGAACAATTTGGTGTCGAGAAAAACGAGAGTCAGAAAAGACTCAGATTAGGCAACATAAATTTATTATTCCTCCCTCTTTTCCCCACTGACCTTATTCTAAAAACTTACTCTTATTCAATTAATTCCTTCCCTGATCTCCATCAGTCATTTGTCCTGAGCCAGAGAAGGAAGAAGGAAAAGGGAAGAAATAGAATAGAATAAAATTTGCTTTAATGTATAAAGAAACCTAAAGCTTTCTTTTACTCCTCCCTTTTCCAGGTCAACGTACTCACTTCATTTAAATGATAAAAGGATAATGTTAATTATGATTATTATATATCAATAATCTGAAAATGAAGAAAATAGAAAGCCTTTCATCAAGATTCATGAAAACAGGTTTAACAAAAATAGTAGAAATTAAAAATCAGATGTTAAAGATAATCGATTAAAGAGTTATTTTGAATTGAGGTCTTATCTAAGACAAGAAACCCAATGATCCCTGAATGCTACAGTCAGGAAAAAAAAAAAAATCGAGGTCTATATTACGAAGTTCAACATATTGAAGAGCCAATTATAAAAGATATTGATAATGGGGCACTTGGGTGGCTCAGCGTTAAGCATCTGACTTAGGCTCTGGTCATGGCTCTATGGTCTGTGAGTTCGAGCCCCGCATTGGGCTCTGTGCTAACAGCTCAGAGCCTACTTCAGATTCTCTGTCTCACTCTCTCCCTCTGCTGCTCCCCCACTCATACTCACTACCTCTCTCTCTCTCAAAAATAAACATTAAAAAATAGATATTGATAAGATTGAAGTTTCTTCATATGTATAAAGACCAAATACCACCACCACTGTATACAATAGTCATTAATATATAAAAGAAGGAAAATATCAGCTAATAGTCATGTTTCTCTGTTACGTTAGAGGAAACAGATGAATGATCTAATCCCATTTGTAAATTAAAACATTACAAAAGGGAGGTGGATTGTTTTGTGTGTATGAGTTTTTAGTCCATTTTTCAATGGCAGGATGGTGATAATGGGTTATGGGGGAATTTCTGAAAGGGAAAAAGTAGAGGACATGAGTGGGTGTGGAAATCGTCCTAATATTGCCTCTGCAATTTTCTTTTTGCTTTCCTTTAAGTTTTCTTGGCCAGAAAAAATGACGTTTTAGTCTCAAGTATAGTCAAACCAGGAGTTGGCTCAAGTGAAAGGCAACTGGAATGTGTGGAAAATGTGGTGAACCTGAGAGCCCCTGCATGGCTTGTGGGCCTTCAGTTCACTTGATAAAACCCCACACATTTTGCACCAATCCAGATCTGTCTGCAGGTGCCGATTTGTAACCTCCGTGTTCAGTCTGATAGTAGCCACCTCAGTCAGATTCTGAACACTAAGGAGCCTGGCTGGGTGGGACCCAATAAAGAACTCCCTCCAGGTAGGTTGGGAGGATGTTTCATAGGTAGGCAAAGGGACAGGCTCTACGAATGATAGGATGCTAACTTTCCTTTTCTATTTAAAAGCTTCCTTGATAAGTTTCTGACCCCTTGTTTGACACCAGCTCAATCTCTTCCAAGGACCTAAATCATAAAGCAGAATTCACTAATTACCAATGCTTCTCTGAGAAGGCAAAGAAAAGAATCCCATAGGACACTGTCTTGAATTCAGTGAGACCAGATATAAGCCCATATCTTTCCTGTAAGGGGAATAATCAACAATCATGAGTCAAGGAGTGGACTGATGATACTTTTTTAAGACACTGACATCTTTTTTCAAAGATGTTAACATCTAAGGGATGTTTGCTGTGATGGTTGTATGTTTCTCAGAACCAAACTTGGGCTACTGACCTTTTAAATATATCCATTCATTGGAGCCAAGGTAACCATTCTGTTGTCAATTACAGTGATTAGTTTCCCTTAAAACAAAACAAAACAAAACAAAACAAAAAACTAAAAGTGTAAACATAAAGCCTTACTTTATTGAGGAGATTGTACTGAAAGAAAAAGAAGGGTCTCACAAAGTCATTCTTCAGGGAAATAGTCTGGTGACTAATTATGATTAAATAAAGATAGTTTGGGGGGATGAATATAATAAAGAATAGAGAGGACACCTTTTCAAAAAGTAATTGACAAGTGAATTATTATTTGACAGAAATGGTATATTTGAATAAGCAAACAATAGACTGGGCTAAGTTTACACCCTACAGAAGAGATGTTAGAGGTTTCAAGCATGTCTTTAGGAAAGCTAGTTTGGATGTGATTCAGTCTAACAGTGTGAGGTGGCATATTTTTAGTGAACTTGCTCTATTCTAACAGAACAAATTTGTTTTTAAAAGGAAAACTATATATTTTCCATGAAAAAAACATACTTTTTTTGTTTGTTCATTTATTTTGAGATTGGGAGCAAGGAAGCATGAGTTAAGGAGGAGCAGAGGGGGGGGGGGGAGAAAGAGAATCCTAGGCAGGATCCACACTGTCAGCACAGAGCCCAATGTGGGGGTCCACTCCACAAACCTGTGGGATCATGACCTGAGCCAAAGCTGGACATTAACAATTGAGCCACCCAGATATATCCAATGAATGGATATGTTTAAAAGGTCAGTAGCCCAAGTTTGGTTTTGAGAAACATACAACCATCACAGCAAAAGTTCAACATCCTAAACTTACTATAGGAAATCACATTTATTAGGATCAGTCAGGTTAAAGCTGTTTATTAGGCAAGTATCAAATACCAAGGGGGCTTATTCATTTTTTAAAATTATTTTGAAAGAGAGAGGGCACGCGTATGCGCGCGTGTGAGGGGGGAGGGGCAGAGAAAGAGGGAGAGAGAGAATCCCAAACAGGCTCTTGTTGTCAGCACAGAGCTGGATGCGGGGCTCAAACTGACTAACTGTGAGATCATGACCTGAGCTAAACCAAGAGTGGGACACTTAACTACCTGAGCCACCCAGGTGCCCCCTTTTTTGGGTGGGGTTATTCATTTCTGATGACATCATAGATAAAAGAAGGGCAGGAGGGTCACTCAGAATTCTTCCTCATAATTTTTTTTTTAAATATTGATCAAAGAAACACTGAAAAAGAATGCCCTGCACTTTCTTCAGCATTAGTTACTGGGTCAAAGGCTGGTGAGGTTTGAGGGTAGAGATGCGGAGGTGCTGAGGACTAAAAACATGAAAGGGTTTGAAGGAAGCATACTATACTCCAGGATGATTTAAAACAAAATTATAATCATAAAATTATACTGTTGAGGAAAACTATACAAACCAAGAGCAATACAAATTTTAAGGAACTATAAGCTGATTGGGAGCTGTAATCAGAAAGAATCTTGAAAGATCGTTCAAATTCACAGATTGGGCAGAAGAGGAAAGAATATGCCAGGTTTGGGAGGCAAGGCACAGAACAAAGGAACAAAGGCACAGAAACACTATGTAGTATGTGTGAGTAGGTATAAAAGACCTCAAGTGGAAAAAGCTGAGGCTCTGGATTGGCTGGGAAAAAACTGGTTGAGGAGGCTGGGGCAAATCATGCAGTCATTAGTTAAATCCTGAACGTGTTAACTCATTTCAACTTCATTTTTTTTCTCACTTAGTATATGAAATAGAATACAACTCAAAATAAAATCGTAGAAAAGTGTTCTATAATGAGAGTTTTGTCGAACTTATTTTTGGTTAAAATCATAACACAATCAAATGTCCAGCTCTAGCACTGATAACCTTTCCCCTCTCAACCAAATAGGTTTGCAACAAAATCTCACTAAATAGGTAGATGTAAAGCGATAGTATAAAGACATGTCAACGCGGTTCCGTAAATTATAAATTAAGACAGAGTTAAGAATCTAAACTTTCTAGCCCAAGATTCTGCACAAACTATACTATATGAAGTTGCCTGATATGCATCCTAAACAATACCTTAGGTTAGATATGGGGTTGGTTATTTTTTTCTCTGTATATTAGCGCAAATTCCCTAAACAGACTTTGTATGATGTAGTTCCTGAATCTAACAGCAAGTAGAAAAGGGCAAAGAAAACCAACGTAAGACAATGAGAAATTACTTTACCTTTTCACTTAACTTCGTAGTATAGTATACAGTGTTGCTTCCTGGGATCATAGGCAACTTGACCCCAAGAGGCAGATCCAGTAGTTGACCCACTCCGACCCCTGGAAACTGGGTTTTGTGCACGCCCTGTCAGATGCAATTGGAGAGTTTGGTCTTTCCCTTTAGGTATTAGGCAAATGGACCCCTGCTCCAGCCAAATGAACTGAAGAGTCAAACGGTCAAGGTCGAAGGGTCCCACCCTACCAGACAGCCCCGGGAGACCTCCCGCTGCCCGGGCCACCACCAGCCAGTGGCGGCCAGCGCAGCCCCGGCCACCGCCACCGGCTGCGCCGCACGAGGGCGCCAGGAGCGGGCGGTTAGGAACCGCGCGACTGGTCGGTCGCTCTCCCCGCCCCCGCCCGCCGGGCCGGAAGCCCGGGCCAAGGACCGCGACGCCGGGCTGGCTGCCTGCCTGCCACTCACGTCTCCGCATTGCTGGCTCTCCGAGGCCAGGCCACTGGTAGCCGTTTTGGTGGCAGCGACGCTAGCAGCCTTAGAACAGGCGCTGAGGTACAGCTCCATCGCCAGCCCGGGCCGTTCTGTCCTCAGCCGCCCGCCCGTGTGGGTCCTCCCCTCGCACCCCTTTCCCCGTCGTCGTCCCTCCGTCGCGACTGGACCCGGAATGGCCAGTACCCCGCGTCCGCGAGGCCCCACGCTCGCGGCGTTCCAGGCTCCGAACCTGGAGGCCCTAGAAGGGTGCTGCCGTCCGGAGGTGCTTGCGGCACGAGCGCCCCAGATTTGGGGAAATAAGTCCCAGGAGCCTGGTCTGAGAGTCACAAGTCAGTGTACTATTTCTCTCTGAAATCAGTACCGCTCAGTCATGCCAAACCAAAATCCAAACTTTGAAAACTTTGTAGGCGGGTGGCTGGCTGATTTTTCCTGGCCTCCAAGGAAGGAGCTATGGTTTGGCCCGCGGGAGGGTGGAGGTGCAGGGGGGTGGAGGGGAGGGGGGAGGGAAGTGGGGAAGTGGAGGGAGAGGGCAAAAACCAAAATCCAGGAGCAATTGTACAGCCCCTTCTAGGGACAGAGGGCTGGTTTTCTGTATGTGCCTCCTTTCATCCACTGAAAGCACCCCATCCCCACCTTCCCCCTCCAGGTTCACATAAGGCACTTTCGTTAGGTTCCTTTGAGGCTCACTGCCTTTCTCCTGCCCTCCTTTCTCCTCTAGTCTCCTCCTTCCTTTCCAGCTCTCTCCTCTCTCTCTTCTATTCTCTCCTTTCTGCCTTCCTTGCCTTCTCCTAGATCCCCTTTTCGCCTCCTGTCAACCATCCAGCCAGAATTTATAAAATACCTGACTCCTTGGGGCCCATCAGTGAGCAGGGCACTGGGGATATGGTGGTGAGTAATATTTGGCCCAGTCCTCAAGGAGCTAACTAGACTAGAAAGACTTTGAGGGCCCAGACTGTATCTGATTTGTCAGCAATGTGGACTTAGACCTTTAATATTCTTTAACCCACTGTTGTTCTTTCTTATTTCTGAGCTATTTAGTAGTAATAACTACTACTTACTGAGAATATACTAACTCTAGATACTGTGCTAAATACTCACCACATTTTTCAAACAGCCTTGCCAATAGTTGCCTCTTTCCCCCCCAAAGGTTTAAGGAGAATGATAATTACTATTTAACAATAGCCCCAGAGGCAATTTCTTAATCAATTCGCTAGTTTTACATCTGCTCTATTTGTTTTAATGGCACTCAGATGCATAGGACTCCTAAATTGGAAATCTGATTTTAGGATCTAGTCCACTGCCCCTCTCCACATGGATGTCTCACAATTGTCTCAAATTCAACGTACTTAAGTCTCAACCCACCTCTTCACCAAAACAAGACAAAGCTAAAGCCCTGTTCTTCCTGTATTTCCCATCTCAGTGACAATATCAGTATCTACCCGAGTCAGAAACTGAGAAATAGTGGTTAAATACTTACCTTTCCCCACATTCCCCACATTCGGTTGACCTCTTAGTCCTAATGATTTTATCACTGAAATTAATTGGTCCTGTCCTATCCACCTGTATTCTACTCCCTCAGTTAAGCCACTCATCATTCTTTTGTCTGTGCGATCACCACAGCCTTATCTCTTTGCCACCTTTCATCCCAACAAGCCATCTTTTATCAAAGTGATCTCTGATGCCATCTCTCTCCCCCCGGTAGTAAATCTCCAATAGCCCTAAGACTTAACAAAGTATATAGCAGCCTCTGTGACTTGGCCCCTGTAGTAGTTTTCTCTTGCTACTGTAACAAATTACCACAATCTTTGTGGCTTAAGACAACATAAAGGTATTATCTTACAATAATTGAGGTCAGCAGCATGAAATGAATCTCATTCTACTGAAAACAAGGTGTTGGCAAGGCTGCATTCTTCTGGAGGAGTTGGACACAATATCCGACCTACCTCTTTATGGCTTCTAGAAGCTTTACCTTCACCCACATCAAATCCAGCATGTAGCATCTTCAAAATGTCTCTCTGATTCAGACCTCTGCCTTCCTCTCTATAATTAAAAATCTGTTGATTATATTGGGCTCATCTAGATGACCTCCAATAATTTCTTTATTTTAAGGTCAGCTGATTAGCAACCTTAATTCCATTAGCGATCTTAATTCCTCACTGCCATGAAACACACATATTCACAGGTCTTGGGAATTAAAATGTAGATACCTGTGAGGGATATTATACTGCCTATATAGAAGAGACACAGCTCTCTTCTCCCTTTTGAAGACACAACTTCCCTCACCACCTCTCAAAACTGGGTCTCAAATGATGTGGACTTGTGTGTGGAACTGAACCTGCTGGTTCAAGACTGTGTTTTTGCTGTGCTCTTATCCCCTGCCTGGCAGTCCTGTGCACTTCATTGCTTGGCTAATTTCAATCAATTTTTAAGGCTGCTTAAGTGTCATCATCTCTCTAAAGTTTTTCTGGCATTCTAAGCTTTAGCCAAATTTGCTTCCTCTGTGCTTTCCTCCATCTTAGCATTTTTCATATTACATCAAAAATATCTCTTTACCTGTCAATCTTTCTTGAAGGGAATGGAAATTCCTGGAAAGCAACTGTTGGTTTATTCAATATAATATGCACAACACTTAGCATAGTGCCTAGCGAACATTTAGTGAACCCCCAGTATATTTTTTTGTCTTGACTTGGGCATACCTGAATGAGAACCCATCAAAGGGTTTTAAGCAAATTCTCAACTTAGAGGAGTATTCTGGCAACAAATATGGGGGATGGATTTTTGGGGTTGGACAGAAGGCCTGAGAGACTTCACTATGTGTAGTTACATAGTCAAGAAACACTGAAGTCCTGAAATAAGGAGTCTATAAGAATGAAGGGGAAAGAATGGATTTGAGAGACAGTTGAGGCGACACTGTAATAACTTTGGTTTCTTCCCCATCTCACCTACTTTAAAAACAACAGAGCTGATGGGAATGATTGCTATGGTGAAGCTGACAAGGCCAGATAATCTTGAATTCTAGAGAGAACAGTCACACCAGCAAAGCAAATGAATTCCCTAAAAAAAACCCCACATCCAACAAGTAAGTTCTTTTTATAAGGAAAGCAGTTGGAATGTGAGAATAGAGAAGCAGAAAGTCCATGATGGTTATGTGTGAAGAAGGATTTGTAGTATTCTTGGAGATGACAGAGGAGCATGTGTTTGAAGTTTCATGAACTTCCAGGTCTTTTCAGAGGCTATCTTGGTCTTTCCTTTGTAACAAACCATTCACAAAATTTAATGGCTTTAAACAATGATTTATTATTTCTCACAAATCTCTGGGTCAACTGACATTTCTTTTTTAGTCTGGATTGGCTCAGCTGGAGCTGAATAATCTAGGTGGCTTCACTCACATGTCCAGCCAGGGCCTTGGCTGGGATGGCTTGAATGGTTGGGATTGCTGGACCACTCTGTACAGATGTTCTTTTCATATTCCAGGTGTTTAGATCAAGCTTTTTTACATGGAAGTCTTGGGGTTTCATCCTCAAGAGGGAGTGAACATTAATGTGCTTTTCAAATCATCACTAGTATAACACTTTCTAAGGATACCAATCCTTGATTCAGAGCCCACAGTAATTCAGTATGACCTCATCTTAACCAGACCACATCAGCAAATTCTCTATTTCTAAATAATTTCATAGTCTGAGGTTCTGAGTGGATTAAATTTTAGGGTAGGACACCATTCAACCAAGTATGAAAAGTTACAGAATGTCCTGCTAATGGAGAAAATTGGATATATTGAGAATGTCAAAAAAGGTTTTATTGTGATAGTCACTAATATAGTGATTAGACAGAGGGCTCAAAATAAGGATCTGTCTAGAAATTACAAAATTATAGATATCAGAATCATCCTGATATATATATACGTATATATGTGTGTGTGTGTGTGTGTGTGTGTGTTTCTAAATGATTCTAAGACTTACAGAGATATAATGATTTTATTTAACCTCCCATAATTGAGTCAGCAAAAGTAGGCAAAAAAAAAAATGAGAACTTTCTGAAGTGGTCTGTTTTTGGTAGGTAAAAGCTTACTTAGCTTTTGGTTAGCTACTGCCTCTGATTAAACACACCTCCTATTGCCATGAGAACTGACTCAAATATTGAAGTAAACCATTCTCTGAAGATATGTAATTTATCAAATGTTAACTGCTTTTCTATATTTCTGTAAAATAACTTCTTTGCTGGTGTTTTAGATTTTTTCAAATAATTATGATCTTTACAAAAGAGAATATGGAAATTTATATTTAAAAAATATGTTAAGAGAAATTTTGTCCCTATCACTAGTACAATACTACCACTACAGCAGAGGAAATTAACACCTGATTTTTTATTGCCTTTATTGATTTTTTTATCTCTCATTACTTGATGACTCTCTCTGGGTCTTAGGCCCTTAATAGGATTCTAGGTGCTTTTGATGAGAGTTACATTGCTTGGATCTCCTGGGTCAGCAGTGCACAGTACTGTGCTAGGCATTCAGGCTGTTCATTTCTTGATTACATTTTAGTCATTATTAAATAGTGCGCACACACACACACACACACACACACACACAAGAATATGGTAAAGACCACACAGTATCTTTTCAAATTAAAAGGTATATCTCTTTGTCAGTATCTTACCCATTTAAGTGGGTAAGATTAAATTCTAAATTTAATTTAGATTAAATTAGATTAAATTCTAAATTACACTAGAATTATTATTTTTCAATATTATATTTATCTTGATGATGAAAAGCTGACAGTAAATACAGATTTCTGACTTGTTAAGTGATGCAGACCATGCAGAAAGAAGGGAACCAAATTAAGTATCAACTGGGAAAATTCTTCATTTATTCCCAATGTATGTATTTTAGATGATAACACAAACAAATCATAGTGAAATATTAAATAAAAAGTAATGTTGAAACATTATGTCCAGGGGCACCTGGGTGGCTTAGTCGGTTAAGCGTCCGACTTTCGCTTAGGTCATGATCTCGCGGTTCGTGGGTTCGAGCCCCGCGTCGGGCTCTGTGCTGACTGCCAGCTCAGAGCCTGGAGCCTGTTTCAGTCTGTGACTCCCTCTCTCTCTGACCCTCCCCTGCTCACGCTGTCTCTCTCTACCTCTCTCTCTCTCTCTCCTAGAAATAAATAAAACATTTAAAAAAAAAATAAAAGAAACATTATGTCCAGTTTAAGGTTTCAAATGAGAATAGGATAAAATTAAGGTAACCAGTCATGCAGCACATCACAGGTGGGGAAAATTCCTTGATAGTAAAAGGCAACAAGAATGTATAGTACAGTATTAATAATGTAGACTTGAGGTTTGAATCCTATTTATTTCAACTCTTGGCTTTAGTTTCCTCTGCTCCAAAATTTTCACAATGCTAACTTTTATTTTATAGGGCTATTAGATGAGTTAAGTCGATTAAAAACAGCAAAATGCATGGTCTGTAGAGATGTTCAATCAATAATTTTATTATTAGCATCACTTTGAGTAGCATTAATAGGGACATTACTGATTAATTTACTAATTAATTAAAAATTTACCCCAGTTTTATTGAGCAGTAATTGACATAGCACTGTTTAAGCTTAAGACATATAGCATGATGGTTTGATTCACATATATTATGAAATGATTGCCATAGTAGGTTCAGCTAGCACCCATCTTCTCATATAAATACAATAAAAAGGAAATGAAGAAAAGAATAAAAGAGAAAAATTTTCTCCTTGTGATGAGAAATCTTAGGATTTATTCTCTTAATAATTTTTCTATATAGTTTTAGCTATGTGTTACATAGCATTGTTAGTCATAGTCATCATGCTCTACATTACATCCTTAGTATTTATTTATCTTAAAACTGGAAATATCGGGGCACCTAGGTGGCTCAGTCGGTTAAGTGCCCGACTTTGGCTCAGGTCATGATCTCATAGTTCATGGGTTCAAGCCCCATGTTGGGCTCTGTGCTGACAGCCAGCTCAGAGCCTGGAGCCTGTTTCAGATTCTGTGTCTCCCTCTCTCTCTGACCCCCCTACCCCCTGCTCACCCTGTCTCTCTCTCTCTCTCTCTCAGAAATAAATAAAACATTTTTAAAAACCTGGAAATATGTACTTTTCGATACCTTACACCCACCTCTGGTCACCACAAGACTGACCTCTTTTTCTAGGAGTTTGGTGGTGGTGGTGGTGGGTGGTATTATTTTTCAATTTTTGGGTTTTTTGCTTGCTTGTTTTAGATTCCACATATAAGAGATCATTCAGCATTTGTCTTTCTTTGTCTGACTTATTTCACTAAGCATAGTCCCTTCAAGGTCCATTCATGTTGTCATGTATGGTAGATAGGATTTCCCTTTTTTTCTGGCTAAATAATATTCCATCCTCTGTGTGTGTGTGTGTGTGTGTGTGTGTGTGTGTGTGTGTGTGTGAAATAGCCATTCATCCGTTGACCCATTGATGGATATTTAGGTTGATTCCATGTCTTGGCTATTGTAAATAATACTATAGTACATATGGGGGTGGAGCCATGATTTTGAGATAGTGTTTTTGTTACTGTTGTATATATTTCCAGAAGAAGAATTGCTCAGTCATATGGTAGTTCTATTTTTGATTATTTTAGGATCTTCCATACTGTTTTTCCATAGTGGCTGTACTAATTTAAAATTCCATTATCAGTGCACAGGGTTCCCTTTTCTCCATATCCACATTAACATTTGTTATTCCTTATCTTTTTGTTAATGGCCATTTTAGTAGATGTGATTTAATATATCATTTTGGTTTTAATTTGCATTTACCTAATGACTAGTGATATCAAACATCTTTTCATGTATCTTTTGGCCTTTTCATATATCTTCTTTGGAGAAATGTCTATTCAGGTCATTTTCCCATTTTTAAGTTGGATTTTTGGATTTTTTTTTTTTTTTTTGGTTATTGAGTTGTAGGAGTTCTTTGTTTTGGATATTAACTCCTTAACAGATATATTGTTTGCATTTTTTTTTCCATTTTGTAGGTTGTTAATAGTTTCTTTTGCTATGCATAAGTTTTTTAGTTTGTTGTAGTCCTCTTTATTTTTTATTTTGTTGCTTATTCTTCAGTTGTTATAATCAAAAAATTATTACTATGATCCATGTCAGGGAACTTTGTTTCTACATTTTTTTCCTAGGAGTTTCTTGGGTTTCAGATCTGCATTTGCATATTTAATCCATGAGTTGATCTTACATTTACATATTCAATCCATTTGAGTTAGCTTTTATGAGTGGGTTGAGTTTTATTCATTTACATGTGAGTATCCAATTATTCCAGCACCATTTATTGGAAAGACTTGTCTTTTCTCCATTGAGTAAGATTTTTTTCTTTTCATTTTAATTGTTGGAATATGTTGCCCTCACAATCCTAATCACTGTTATTAGTGAGATTGATTATGTGATAAACATTTGGTGTGGCAGAAAAATTGTTTTTGAAATTGTTGGAAAATCCTATCCAGTAAAATGAGTAGTTTTGTTGTATTTATCAAGTAGCTGCAGTTTGTTTTTTTAAATATCAGCTCTGGCCACAGCTTGATTGTAGCCTTGTGAGAGACCCTGAACTAGATGCACCCAGCTAAGCTGTGCCCAGATTCCTGTGGTATAAGAATTGTGAGATACTAAATGTCTGTTGTTTTAAGCTATTACATTTTGGGACAGTTTGTTACATAACAACAGATAACTAATGCTTATGATGTACCATTCATTGTGTTAGGTAGCTAGCAAGGCGTGCATTGTGAAACCCTTTCATTAACATTGGAAGACAGTTATTACAAACTCCATTTTACAAAGAGGAAATTTGGGCTTAGAAAAATGAATTTGCCTCTCATCTTAAAGCTTCGAAATTGGTTCTGTTCTAAGGGATTCTTAATCAGCAAACAATTCTTTCTCCACATCGTTTTTTAAATAAAATTATTTCTTACATTAAAAATATTTTTCCTCAGGTTTATTGAGATATAATTGATATACATCACAGTAAAAGTTTAAGGCATGCAGCATGATGGTTTAATTTACATATATTGTGAATTTTTTCCACAGTAAGTTTAGCTAGCATCTATCATCTCATATGGATATAATTTAAAAAAAAAGGAAAACAAAGAAAAAAATTTCCTGGTATGAGAACTGTTAGGATTTACATATTTAACACCTTTCCTATATATTAAACGCAGTGTTAACTATAGTCATCATGTTGTACATTATATCCATGGCACTTATTTATCTTATAACTGGAACTTTTCACATTTTGACCACCTTTCTCCAGATCCCCCTACCCTTAAATATTAACAAACTATGCAGTTATGTACTTGTCACTTTAGACTTTATCAGTTTAAAATTAGAGGGAATAATAGAAAAATAACAATAAAACTACGACATGGTATAATTTTATTATCTTCAGTGTGTACCACTATGACCCTGACAGAGCCTGAATAAGACATGAGGGGCAGGACTGATGTACTGGTTTCTCTCCTCAATTCTATCTCAGATGTTAAAGATACAATCTCTAAACTACTTTACATACTCAATAATTCACTATGATACTATTCATCTATTTATCAAAATCTATTTTTATTTTTATCCATTTTAGTCATTTTTTGTTCTTAATGAAGAATGTAAATTCACTACACTTTGAATTAAATTCTAATTTCTTTTTTGGCTTTTAAGAATTAACTACCTCTGTTCTCATTCTAATGTAAATATAATGGATCCGTATGTCCAACATAGCTTGTCATCTGGAAAGAAGGAAGTTAAGTTGCAGGTTTGCAATACAGTCTCTTCTTTTATTGGGGGTGCTCCAGGGAAAGAAAAAAAGGCAAGGAAGCTGAACTAATCCCCTTCTAAACATGTTGATAACAATCCTATTGGGACAGCAACAACAACAGAGGTTTTTGCTAGCAAAATAATTTTTTTATACAGGATATTTTTAGCAGGATGTGCCTAGCTGTTTAGATTTGTTTATGGTAAACAAACTGGAGTTATGGATAATATCTGGTTGGGAATGTTACATAACCAATGTAGCCTTCTCTCTAGAAAATAGAAGTGTCATATAACCTGAGTTGGTTACTATATGAAAGTGAAGTAAGTAAGTGCAACCTTCATAGGAACCTCATCTATTAACGTGTGCATCTATCTAATGTTGTATAATAGGACTTGAGCAACTACACTAGGGATCATGGACTTCTTTGTTTTACCTATCACATGATTACATGTATTTTTGGAATTATTAGTATCTAATTGACACTTAAAACTTGATATGGAGTAAGATCTTTGAGTTCTGTTAGTCTGAATTATCAATCTGGCCTTTTATGTTATCTTGAATTCAAGAGATACTGATTCCTATGATAGTCCTCAAATTTCACCGTCCAATAATTTATTTAATCATTTTGGTTTCCCTTACAGGCAGAGGAGGCAGAATTTTATAATGGTAAAATAAAGCATGTGTGGGTAAAAATCAAAATAATATAAAGTAAAATAATTGACCCTTATTCCAAGATCCTATGACTCACAACCCAAAAGCAAACAATGATAAGATGTATATCATTATACATATGTGTAGGCGCCAAGGGCAGCCCCTCTGCCTGTTAGGCCACTTTGGCATGAAGATTATTTTGAGTTAAAAAAAAATCTAAACACAGCAGATTCAGAAAAATCTCTTTTCCTCCCCCTCAACTGTCTGTTTGTACCAGGAATAGAGCTATTAACAGGGATTCCTCTTTACCTAAGAAACTGCTTTGAATACTGGGGCAACCTTGGTTTCCACACATCTCCTTTTACCTTCCTGCTAATGATCTTTCCCCCCTTTGAATCTTCAGACCCCTCCCCCCACTCCTTAGTTCACCTAAGCATCATGTTGCCTCACTTTAGAATTTCCATACCTATGTGGATTTCTAGTACATATGCTATTAAATTTGATTTTCTCCTGTTAATCTGTCTCATGTCAATTTGATTTAGTCCAGCTAGAATAATCTTGAAGGACAGAGGAAATTCTTCCTCTCCAACATAAGCAAATTTATGTTACTAAGTATGTTTTACATGTTCCATTTTTTTACTGAAAGTCATTTAATATGAGTACACTGATTTAATTTATTTTTAACTATACTTAAATGGTTTAATGCTGTTACTACCATTATTTACTTACCCAGTCTTCTATTTATGGATTTTTAGATTTTGCTACAAAAGTTCTACAATAAGCATTCTTTTACATAGACTTCTGGATTAAGGGTATGCCGATTTCATTTATTTTTCTTACAGATATTGTCATGTCTCCTTCAAAGCAGTTACACACTTTGTGGTTTATCTGTGGTTTATCCTCCCACAAATGGAGATTGGATAAGGTATGTGCCTGCTGTTAGTATCTTCTTTCTTTGTTGGATAAGCCTTTCTCATAGGCTGTGGTTTCAACTAATGGCTAAAATTAGTTTTTTCTAAATTTGTTTGCTTGTTTCAGAGACAATAGAGATTCTTTTCCCCCTGTTTTTGATTTTGTAATTTGAAATCTTTATTCTGCTAACATTATACAAAATAACTAGATGATTTTCCGTTATTTTTTAAATTACATAAGTTTGGAGGATAAGTAAAGTGAAAGTAGTGGCCAAGTTGCTTACCATAGACTAACTTGCAAAAAATATTTTTTTGCATTTTTTTAAATCAAAGCAAAAATTGATAATTGTAATAAACATATGTATATATTTAGCCCAAAATGTATCACAAATTAAAAATAACCCTGAATTTGTCAGCCTGCCTATGCACAAAAGAGTTAATGCAGTAGGCCTGAGACTGGTATTTTTTAGAAAAGCCTACTTGAAAAGTTCTCTCCTGACTGGCACTGGGGAACTTGGCAGTTGAGCCATTCATGAAGTGATAACTGGTTCACTGTGCCTAAACTGCTTATAAAATCAATATGGTTTGTGCAGGGCATATGCGTTGTATCTGGGGGTCTGAAAATTTGATATGTATTAGGCAGCAGGTGCTTACATGAATAAACTAGTATAAAAACCTTGGGCTTTGTCATGAGTTGAATTGTATTTATCTAAAATTCATATATGGAAATCCTGTCAGTACCTCAGAACTAACTGTAATTGAGAGAGGGTCTTTAAAGAGGTAATTAAGTTAAAATGAGGTCATTATGATGGATCTTAATCTAATATGACTGGTATTTTTATGGGAATTAGGACACAGATAGTCATAGAGGGAAGACTGTGTGAAGACATGGGTATGTCTCACCACAATAAAATGAAAATTCTTTAAGGAAAATTTTTGTCTGTCTTCTTCAATGTACTCTTCAATAACTAGAACAGTGCCTAGTAATTATTATTAAGTAGAAAAAACCCAATAATAGGTATTCAGTAAATAACACTTCAATAAATAAATGAAACAATTATATTTTTCCCCCTTGGTCACTGCTTAAATGGACAGTGCCAATGTGTGCTTCAGAATATCTCTGGTTTTTTTTTCTTTTTTCTTTTTTTTAAATTATTTATCTCTGAGAACCTATCCTTCTAATTGACACTGTCTCCTTTTAGATAGCATCCCACATTTTTAACTCCTAAGTTACTGTTTTCCTACACAAGGTTAAGAACATGATCTATAGAATAGTAAAAACCCATGTGATGGCTTATCATTCTTCTCTTTATCTTGTTCATTTATTTAAAGACTAGGTACATTATTAAATCCATAGTAATAACTTTGTTGCATACTTTCCTTGACTGAAATTGGAATATTTTAATAATATTTGTTCAGCATTCACATGTCAATCCTTGCAAAAGCTATCAGTATCTGCAGATTAAATAAAGTACAGTTTCATTGATGTGCATAAACATAGCTATTTTGTTAAATGGAAGAAAAAAACTGTTGAATTATATACTTGTATAAATAACTCAGTATATCAAGGCAATATTTTTAAAGATAAAACAAAAGAGAAAAGAAGAGAAAATTGTGTTTCAGATTTAACAAGAGTATCACTTTATGAAAATTTGTTTTAATTATAGATATATAACTTACATATTTGCTTATATAAATATATAAGATATATAATATGTATTTTGTGAATTTAAGGAAGGAATGTTTTGAAGATAATGATTATGAGCATCTATATTTCAAAAAAAAGATTCTTTTTAAAAAATGTATTTATTTATTTTGAGAGAGAGACAGGGCATGAGCAGGAGAGGGGCAGAGAGAGAGGGAAAGACAGAATCCCAAGCTGACTTTGCAATGTCAGCAGGAAGCCTGATGCAGAGCTTGAACTGGCAAACTGTTGAGATCTGCTTAACTGACTGAACCACCCAGGTGTCCCTCAATAAAAGTTTCTAAAAAGTGAAAACCTCTCAAAATATTAAAATAAAAATGTTATTAGTTATCATTTAAATGAATACTTTTATTTTACAAGTAAGGATACAAGGGATAAGTAAAATGAAATCTTCCAAAATTAGAAATTAGATTGGTGGCAGCATTAAGTTATTGCTCAGGTCTTCTGTCAATTTACCATCGAATCATACAGCCAGAGAATATTATACTTTATGCTGTCCAACTATGTAACTTTGGGTCTATTCCACTCATTAGACTGAAACTGACATCAAGCTAAGGTTATTTTTTCCCAATAAACACATTTGTTATAGTAAGTACAATCACCATAGAAATGTGGTTGTTCTTTTCAATTGTTTTAAAAATAAATATTCATTTAAATAAAGTACCTCTTATTGTGACTATATAATTTCTTTACATTTGAATCCCTCTGACTGAATTAAGAGAAATTTGGTTTTTTGTTAATAGAGAATAATTTTCACCTTTTCATGTAGTTGGTATTATAAGTATTCAGAATAAGTGCCAATTAAAAATACTATTACTTCCTTATCATCTTCTGCCAGCCAGTCCTTTATATTAACATTTCAGGGTTATTTCAGGAAGCAGCTTATCAGTTATGGGGCTTTTCTTGTTTGTTTGGATGCTTAGTTGTTGTTGTTGTTTTTACCTAATTAGTGAACAGTCTGAAAAACGCTTTATTTATAGCAATTCCAAAATTAATAAAGGCGGGAATACAAATGACCTTAGAAGACATTCTTAGAAAACATTCTGTAGAAAAAAAAATCTCTCAATTCTTTTCTTTCTTATTTGAGGCTTTCTATCTGAAATCTACCTTGTCTGATATTAGCAGCTCACTCCTGTATGTTTGTTATACTATTGCCGACCTATTTTTGAATTACTTTGTTTTAGCTATATCTCCTACATACAGAAAACTGTATTTTGTGGAATAATTTGAAACTTATTTTTAAAAATTTAATAGGGTAACCTATTTTTTACCTATTAACATAATTGTTTATACAATGTAATCAATCAAATTAGTTTATGCTGTTTACTAAGATTTTTAGATGAATTTGTCTCTTTTGGTTAACCTTGTTAAAGAACTTAACTGCCTTGTAAATATTGCTTCTATTTTTTTTTTTTTATATCTACACAAATAGAATGGTAAAATTATTTTCAATTACAGACTCATCAGGATGTGCTCTTAGTATTTTCATTCTTCCCCAGGGAGTGAAAATTGAAAAGGTAATAATGTCCATTCAAAATTCTGTTCAAATTTAAGAGGCCACCAGAGCCATTGTTTCTTGCTAAAATCTTGAAAATACAGAAAGTTTTCTTTAAGTGAGAAAGAGGAGGAAATTCAGAGAAAGTTTGTCACTTAAGGATTGAATATTCCATGTGCCCTCATTTACATAGCTACTTCATTTCGAGTATGATCTTATTAGTCTCTGATGGATCTGAATATGGGAAACACATTTTAGATTAGTTCCCGTTTTAAATTTATTGTGTTTGCCTTGGGTAACCTTGGTAATCATTGAAACCATTATTTTTGTAGGTACTTAATTATGTGGAAACAATTATGTCTTGCAAAACAATCCTTACAATGGAAGATTTTAAGGTGTTGGATAATAGCTTATTAAACTTCTTTCCCTAGACTTCTTTCTTTTCTTGTTTAGTAGTAGGAAGAATAAAGCAATTGATTTGCTTAAATTAGCTTTTAATATTTAGATGCTTGCACCATGTTTTATCAAAAGTGTAAAATTTAAAAAATTTCTTTAAATATAACTCCATCTCACAAGTGGTTTAGTTTTGTAATAAAATATATTTGCTTTGCAGCAAAATATAGAATTGTAAATATATCTTTATATGATGATTATTGGTATGACAACATAGTTAAAATTATTTTTATAATTTCTCTGAGTTGGTAATAGTAAATAATGTAATTGAAATGTGAAGGAAGTATGTTTTATATTATTTACTTTATGAAATAAAAGTGAATTAGTGATGCACCTTTGAATTAAACATTTAGAAGAAAGTGTCAAATTACTAGCAAAACTTTGTGTGTTACTAAAGCATTCCATGTTACCATAAATTGAGTTATCTAAACCTTTCATACTACTGATACTTTTCATTCTTTCCTCTCTCTTTCCCTGTCTCTTACCTCTCCCATTCATTCTTTTTCCTTATTTCTTCCTTTTAATGCTTCATTGTTGTGGTTTGTAGCCTTTTTGTTAAAATATGCTTGGTAAAAAGATATTTTCCACTAAGTCATTAGACCAAAAGGAATGCAAGAGGATACCAACAGTTTTGCATTTCACAAAACTAAGTACATCTTAGCTCTTATTGTATTATTTTCAACCATTCGTAAACTCCCAGTGTAAAACAGTATAGCCAATAATGATAATAATAATTGCTGTTGCCATTATTAATATTTCCCATCATTGTACTACATACTTTACATGGATTAGCTCATTGGATCCGTAAAAAAGCAGCAAACCTGCTATTCATTTCTTTCCTATAGCAGGGTAGAGGTGGAGGGTGCGATTTCATAAAACCTTATGGGAAGCATGCTAACAGCTGGCTTCCTAAAGATTAAATTGACAGTACTTGCTTAGGAAAGAGTTCTTATGTATGGAATGCTTCCTAAGCAGGATGTCCCTGGTTTAGAATTGGGTATGGTAAACAGACCTAATATCTATGGATTTATGTGTTATGGATCTTTGAAAAATGTCACAAAGTATGTAACCTGTGAATATCTGGTAGTCAACAGATATTCAGATAATACACTTAAATTCCTACTTTATTTGAAGCTAATCATAAATAAGGATGCTTTTTGACCTTTGTTAATTGACATTGTTCTAACATGAAAATGCTAACATTGCAAAATCTTAATATCTATAGCTATTATGCTTCATAGAATATATTTCAAAAACCAAATCTATTGGAAATATTCCTATAACCTTGATAAAGTACAAGGATTTAAAAAAATAATAACTTGTGGCAAGTAATTCAAGTTTGTTAACTACCTAGTGAAGTTTGCAAAGACATTTAGATCAATAAAGGAAGCCACTCAATCTTAAAAGTAGGAAGATTGTTACGTTATTAAGTATGGATACTAAAGAAATCTAAAGTTGTCATATAGAGTACAGAAAATATACTTTCCCTGCTAACATTTGTTCATTGCACTTATTTTTATGAGTTTTATCTCTTTAAATTATTTTGAAGCATTTAAATAATCTGTCAATAAGTTATCCTGTTCATTTTTTAATTAAAAATATGTGAATGTGTCAGTAAAGTTAGAAAACTTCAATATGTGAAATGTCAAAGTAGCTTCTCAGTAGGCAAAACTGAATCATTAAAATTTTATGGGAGTGAGGAGTTTAATAAAAAGAATTAGAGCTGACACAAAAGCAGGAAGAGCTAGTGTGAACATCTGGAATGCTCCAGATCAGTGGAACAATAACTAACAACTTCAGCCTAACTCACTGGAGCGGGAGGAAAAGCTAGTATTCAAAGGGAAGTCCAATAATGAGGTATGTTTAGCCAAAAGATGGGGATATGGAGAGGGAGTTCATGAAGAGTTCTGCAAAATCTGCTACAGTGGGACAGCATGAGCCTATAAAGTCATCTACAGTTGCTCTGATTAAAACACCATGACTGATCTTTGAAAATAATGGCTTTCGCTTTACTTCTGTCTTCCATATCTCACACAGATTACTTTTATTAGCAAGTTCTAACCTAGAGCCACATAGGGAAGATTCCAGAAATAGTAATTCTTATCCTTACCAAAATGTGTGATAGAGACAAGTACTCAAAAGATAATGTTTTCTTTATATTTGATCAAATAAGCATTTTGCCTTCTTATTTCTACAATAAAGGATGCTGTAAGTACTTAAAATAAAATGAAATATAGTCAAATAATGTGATCCGAAATTTAATATGACACTATATTGGTAATTCCTTTTCAGATTTTCTTCCTATATTTGTATTTCTATCTTGGGTAAAAGAGTCAGTCGAAGTTGCAGTCTTTCTTTGAAGGTAATCTTTGAAGGTATGAAGAAGGCAATCTTAAAACTATGAGGTGTAAAATAAAAAAAAATGTTTTCTTAGCTAAATGTTGAGCATCACATATTGCCATCAATATGTATTTCATGTTTTTGCTATTTGTTTTCAAAAGTTTTAGAATAGCTTATTAAAGTAAATAGATTTCTGGTGGCTTAGTGCTGTTAATCTTCACTGAGCTACCAATTGCAATGAAGCTGACCAAACTGCATGAGCTGGGGGCTTGATTTCTTATTGTTCACTTAATGTTTTCTATTGAAGCATACTCTATATTTAGCAAAATGCACAAATATTAGGCATATGTCTCTGAGTTTTGCAAAATTAACTCACCTGTGTAACTGTCACCTAGCTCAAGATGTAGAATGATATCAGCACACCAGAAGACTATCAATGATGTATCCAAACAAAATATTCTGGTATTTGTCACTACTGAGAAATTTGAATGTTTTCTATATTACATAAATGGAGTGTAACAGTATGAATTATTTGAGCTTGGCTTATTTTATTCCTTATTATGTCTGTGAGATTCATCCCTCTTGCATATAGGAATAGTTCATTGAATGATATTTCACTGTATGTATATAGCAAACTGTATTTTTCCATTTCATTATTGATGGACATTTGGGTTCTTTCCAGTTTAGAGATATCACAAATAATGATGCCATAAAACTTCTTGTACATACTTTTTGGTGCATGTATATATTTCTGGTATGGAATTGATGAGCAATAGCATGAATATTTTCAGCTTTAGTAAATACTGCAAACTATTTTCCAAGGTGGATTTCTAACTTGAACTCCCACCAGTAGCATAAAAAGTTCTACTTCCCCACATCCTTACTCAAAATTGGCATAATCAGTTGTTGTTGTTGTAGTGATTTTACTTTCTACCTCTGGTAGATGGCACAGTGGTAATTTTCATTTCTCTGATGATTAATGATGTTACACATTTCTTCATATGCTATTGGCCATTTGTGTATCCTCTTTTGTGAAGTGTTTGTTTGAGTTTTTTTACTTTTTACTGGGATATCTGACTTTTTAATTATTATTATTATTTGTTTGTTGTTGTTTTTGAGAGAGAGAGAGAGAGTCAGAGAGAGAGAAAGGGAGCGTCAGCACATGGGAGGGACAAAGGGAGGAGAGAGAGAATACTAGGCAGGCTCCATACCCAGTGCAAAGCCCAACACAGGGCTTGATCACATGAACCATGAGATTATGACCTGAGCCGAAATCAAAAGTCGGATGCTTAACCAACTGGGCCACCCAGGCACCCCTTTAAATATTGATTTGTAGCAGTTCTCCATGTGGCTGTATATGTTCTTTTTTGTTTTCATATATTTTAAATATCTTCTGTCACTTGTGACCTGATTTTCACTTTCTGATGGTGTCTTTTGATAAATAGTCTCTTAGTTTTTAACATCTTACTTATCCATCTTTCCTTTAAATTATCTTCTTATATATTTACTCAGAGATTGTTGCCCATCCTAGAGTCTTGGAGATATTTGCCTATGTTAGCTTCTAAAAGCTTTATTTTAATTTTCAAATTTATGTCTATAAACTACCTCGAATTAATGTTTGTGTATGGTGGGGTGAACATTCATATTTTTCATATAGATTCCAACTGACCGGATGCCATTTATTGAAAAAAATCACCTTTTCTCATTTTTGTGCAGAGGCACTTTGGCATAAATCAGGTGATGAAATATGAATCAATGTATCGCTTATCTGTTTCATTGAGCTATTTGCCTATCCTTGCACTTTTACCACATTCTCTTAATTACTGTAGATCTATCCGGAATGGTGCAACCTCTAGATATATTTTTATTCTTCAAAACAATCTTAGATATATTACCCCTTTGCATTTACATATAAATTTCATAATTAGCTTGTAAATTTCTACAAAAATAAAATGTACTATAATTTTTATTGAAATTGCCTTGAAACGATAGATCAAGTTGAAGAAAATAGGTACATTGTTGCATTGAGTCATCCACTCCATGAATGACTCTCCATTTAAGGATATTAATGGACCATAGCTCTCCACCTAATAAGTTCTTTTTTTATTTCTCTGATATTATTTATGCTTTTAAAGTTTTTGAAATAATATTGACCCTACAGGAAATTCCAGATGCTGCGAATATTTCTAGTATTACTCACTTTACTATGTTTGTTCTCTTTCTTTCTCTTTCTCTCTTTCCACACAGACCTATAAGTTCCCACACATATACTCCCATTAGATATTTCTCAATCAATTGATAGCTATTTGAAAGCATGATGTGCCATTATTCCTAAATACTTCAGTGTATAATCACTAAAAGGGAAGGGCATTCTTTGTATAAATGTAGTACATTGATCAAAATCAGAAATTTAACACTAACAATACCCTCTAATCCAAAGATCTCATGTAAATTTTATCAACTGTCTAATGATACCCATTATGGCAAAATAAACAAACAAATAAATTCTAATCCAGGACCCAAGATCTAGGATCTAATCCGGGATCCCAGATTGTGGGATCATGTGTTAAAGAAGTCATGTCTACTTCAACTCTCTCAATATGGAACAGTTCCTTAGTCTTTACTTGTCTTTAGAGTTCTTGATGCCTGTTATTTTGAGAATTTTCCTCATTTTATTTTTGTATGATATTTTCTTGTGATTAGATTCAGGTTAAGCATATTTGACAGAGATACCACAGATACTGCACTGCATTCTTCCCAGTATTCTTCACACCCAAATACTAAAGATTCTGCCAGTCGCAGAATTTTTCTTTACCTTTCTTATGAGGTTTGCATAACTCTTGGTTTATTATCCTTCCTGAGTGGTCCAGACTCTAGAAAAAAAAAATTATATATATATATATATATATAGAGAGAGAGAGAGAGAGACATGAAATGTACCTAATAAGCTTTTTCAGTATATACTTTTAATATTTTATTTAAGATTAAAAAGTTTGATATAAACGGTGGAAAAGTAAACCTAGCATATGACCAGGACTTTGTTTAACCAGTAACTTGTGAGATTCTGATGTTTCCAAATCTTGCTGAATAGTCTACATATAATGAGTACTAAGGCACATCTCTATTTTCAAGGAGCATATTTTTAAGAGATGAGACATTTTAGTGAGGCACTTACAATAGAATATAATGAGTGTTCTTCATGAGTACTACATGGGGATATATAAGAGTCTTAACAAAGCACTGGGGGAAAGGGAAATTTTAGCGAGAGAAAAAAATCTAAACATTTGCAATGGACCAGTATTGACAGAAAGCAAAGTAATGAGGATATACAAGGATTCTAAATAATTGGATTTCCCAGAAAAAAAGTGAGCTCACTGGAAAGTTTTAAAGAAGATAATACAATTAATTCTGAGTTTTAGAAAAATTAGTCACAGATAGAACAGTGCCTTGTTCCATAGTAGGTGACTAAATAAATATTAGTTCAATGAATGAGTGAAGGAATGCCATAGAGAAAGTGAATTACAAGAGTTTATTTACAAGACATAGGTAGCTAAGTTCATAGGCTGTTGCAGTAAACCAAGCTAGAGATCATGGGCTTAGCTGAATATTGTCTTCATGATGAAGACAAATTATAGATTCTAGAAATATTAAGAAAGCAGAATAAAGAATGTTAGTGAGTTATTTGATTAGCATAAGGGTAGACCAGGGAAAGAGAGAAGTCAAGACCACATCAAAATGTGTGGCTTAAACAAATTATTGGGAATGGAAATATGGGAGGAAGAGAAGATATGGGGATCAATGAAGAGTAATTCCAATGTTTTCATTAAAACTTAATGTCTGTGAGAGGTTTTATAGGATAAAAACATTTCTATTTTATAATATTCTAGTTTTAATTAATGTCTATTAACACTTTTAACACAAGCAAGTAATATATATTTAGTACTATATAATTCAGAATTTAACGTGCCATTTTTTAAATATTAGCAACAAGATTCTTTCATGAGCTTAAGAGTACCATGAAGTACTGGAGAGTACAGCTCTCCATATAGGCAATTATGTTTGATTCTACATATGGCATAGTTCTAAATGTGCTAAATATAAGGGCAAATCTTGTCTTATATAATATATATATACAGTCTCTGTTTTGCATGCCATAATTTAACCAACTAGTGAAACAAATGAAATTAGTAGATATTTTCATAAAAAAATGATTTTTTGAAGTAAACTTTATACTTCTAAGACGTTTGATCAAAGTTAGATCAAAGCACTTTCATGTTCTCTAAACAAAAATGCTGCTTTTAATGCTGCTGTTTAGTATCAAAGGAATAAACCATTTTTCTTAAAATGGTTCCTGATACTTTTAGAAACATATGCTTTTGCAATACTGTCTGGGAACAAATAGAACCTTATGTCTAAATCATTATGTTTTGATTTACTTTGTGTTTTAAAGAGAAATTTTCTGAGATACCCAACCATGAGATCTCTAAATTTCTTTTTCAGTGTTAAATTTATATAGGTAACTAAATAACAAAGAAATAATCCAACTCACTTAAAAATTAAAAAAAAATTTGCATATTTTGAACATGAGACCCTTTAAATACAAAAGTATTTCAATGATTTGTTATGCTAGTCTTCAAATTTTGAGACTTGATTGAAGGAACAAATTATGAATAATAAATTTGTAGATTTAGTTGTTATTTAAACATGTTATATATTTTTATCTATTATTAGAATAGATATTTTGGCAGTGACATCAGCATCACGGCTGCATAAGTCATTCCATTTGTCTCTCCCCTTCATATTTATAACCAGTAGAATACCCACAACCTAACAAAGGTTTCTGTGCACAGCACACCAGGGTGTCAGAAAGATCCATGTCTGTACATCTGAAGGTGAGTAGATTAGACATCATGGAACCAGCAGAGCCAGGGATGCAGTAGAAGTTCTGGTGCCTATGAACCCAGTAGTTCCAGAAACAGCAGTAGAGACTATAACCCTGGCAGCAGAAGCAATGCCCACAAGTCTGGCTACCCTAACACTGACAATGACACTGAGG